CGTGTTTGTTACTCATATTTCCATGTGAAGCGGAGAAGATCAACACGAACACTAATTTACTTTGCTGGCGCTTCTCACCTTTTTCAAGTATCTGTTGAAAAATGATATTTCACTAAGAACTTCCGCCTACACCATTACGAAACTTTTTAATACTACAACCCATGTTCGTATTTTTCTTTCAGAATCAAATCATTTCCAACAAACTTGGATCTTACGGTGAAAAAGGTTAAGCATTCAGTCTTGAGTTTACTTTGTTAAATATTTCGATATTTACAGCTATACAAATTTGTGGCAAGTGGGCAATCAGTATAAAATTTAAATGTTTACAACTCGTCGTCCGAGATTTAGATTGAGAATTTCAGCGTTTTGAAAAGTTTCAATTTTTTAAAATCGTCTTTAACTCTGCTATTTAAATAATTCTAAGATATTTTTCAGTTAGGACAACCCCTTGTCGACCAATTAAATTTTGTCACTAAAAATGGAGGAGACGCCGGGAGAAAAAAATACAAGAGCTTGGAAAATATTTATTCCGAAGATTATTAATTTTTTAAATATTAATTAATTAATCTCTGAACAAAATAAAAAGCATACACCGACTTTGAATGGAAATTGATGACCCTTTCAAGATAGGTTTGAAAATCTTCGCATTTTTGCTTAAAAAGTTTTTTACTCCGTTATTTGAAGTTATAATGGAGAAATAAGCACATATTGGTGATCCTGAGTGACGTTTCAATTATAGCGATGCCTTTGGGATTGCCCGATTTTAATTTTTGCATAAAAATGGTGGAGGCGCCGGGGTAGTAATTAATTTCAAAATTATTAAGAAACTAATCTATTAAGAAATTATTATTTATCTAAATATCTTGGTGCTCTAAACAAAATAACAAGACATACAAAATTTCAAGCCAAGAAAAATGACCATTGTTTGGATTGACTAGAAAATCTTCAAATTTTTGTTTATAAACCCCCTTAACTCCATTACTTGATGTAATACTGACAAATTAAGCACAGATTTGAGATCATGAGATTCTAAAAATGACAAAAGAAGCACATCTAAACCAAGTTAGATGACTCTCTTTGGGGCCGTTTGAAAATATGTCATTTTTGTATAAAAATATAGTTTTTGCACTCATGACCTTTTTTGATAGCTTTCGCGCATTCACCAGATTGCGGGAGGTCGAACTTCCCGCACACGTGCATTTAACTTCCCGTTGCCATGGTAACCTTAAAATACTCGGGTAGTGTCAACATTGTGACGTGTTGACGGCGCTGTCAATGGCGTTGTTTATAAATAACTCACAGTTAATCTCTTCAGTTTAAAGGTTTATTCGTCGCAAAAAATATTGTACACAACACGTTCGTGAGCCTGCTTCCCGCATTCACGCAAATGCGGCACTCCCTTCGGTCGTGCCTCAAACAAGCGTTCATGCGGGAAGCAGGCTATCCCGAACTAGTTGCGTAAATTACTATTTCTTCCATTGCCTGAAGCGATACGGAGAAACTAAGCACTGTTACTATCAAATCATACACAGATGCACAATTAAATGTGTCAAAATCGTTGCCCCCAAAAAAATGTCAGTTTACTATGCAAATGGTGAAGGCGCCGGGATATTAAATATTTTATTTTTTAAAATATAATTTCTTCAAAAATTATTGAGAAACGTATTCATGAACTGCTTATTTTAAAAAAGATCTAACGTCTATTTAAATATTTTGATTTGGAATAAGTTATACTTTCTCGGACCGATTGACCAAAACTATTTTTTTGCATTAAAATTAGCTTCTCTCCACTATTTGACTAAATAGAGCAAAACTAGACATAGTTTTGTGATCCTGAGAAAACTTGTAAAAAATTTTGACAAAAACTGACACCCATTTTTTTTATTTAATTTTTAATGTAACTGAATTTTGATGATCTTTGCTTTGTAGCTTAAATAATTATAAAGTTTGTACTCATCAAAACTAAAAAAAAGAACTTCAGAAATTTTAGGTGCGATAATTTTTTGTTTCAAATAAAAATAGCCAACCCTTACGTTGTTATTTTGCGAAATCCGTTAAAGAAAGCATCAAAGATTAAACTTCTCTATTTCTTGCATTCTTTTCGAAACTATAAAACTCTGAAACCTCACGAGTGGTTCAGACGTACAGGAGAACGAGACTAACGTGTTTATAAATAGCACAAGGGGTGAGACATAGACAAAAGGCCGCAAATCGAACAGAAATGTGTAAGGGAGCGAGAGAACACTTTCGTAAATTACGTAAAGTGGTCGCAAAGAAAAAGCGCGTCGAACAGAAATGTGGGTAACAAATTAAAATTTAGATCTGATTACATCGTGTCTAGTTCATGAAAGTTGGATGGTATTTCTCTCAGGTTAAAGTTGAGTAATTAGATAACACTGTTCTACCTTTGACGTTGTATATTCTTGTAAATATAAGTGCTGTAACTGTATCAACTGTGCTCTCAACACAGCGTTTGGTACGAACACTATGAAAGAACTGTTTATGGACTTAAAAGCTCCATTCTTTTCAAACTCGCCTAATTTTCATATTACAGGATAAAAGTCCGCCTTTTGAGCTCGCGTGACGTCATTTGAAACGAATATGCTGTTATAAAAGTTAAATGCATTGCGGTAACTTAAATTTAAACTCTATTTTCTTCCCCTCTCCTGTTCTACTTGTTTGTTTCCTTATGTTCTGTTTTTATTTTCCGTCCGGAGCGTAAGCTAAGCAAGTATTGTAACAGGGTCCATCCGTTGAATAGGTACTTTCATGTTTTCTTGATACTTCATGACCAGTAGAATATTAAATTTGAAATTATATCAATAGTCACATTTGTAACCCTTTAACATTCTAAATTTGAGCATCTGTCTCTTGTCTGTGACGATATGTTCTTAGACAATAATCTCGGAAACTACTGGAGTAATTGTTGTGAAATTTTATACGTATTTTAGGAATATCGTGCAGATGGTAAAATGCTAGCCAAAATTTGTCTGATTATCCCCACCAACAACTTGATGACGTCATCTCAAAATTTTGCAAAGTAAATGCCATTTAAATTTTATTAAATAGCATACTCCTGTGCATGTGGTTTATAAATTGAAATTAAATTTAGATACATAACACGAAAGTGCGTCAAGCGTGGATTAGGGAGCTGTAGGAGAGCGCTAGCTTTGCATATGAAAGGCCCCAGGTTCGATTCCCAGCATTTCCAACTTTATTATTAATCAAATCAAGAACGGCTCACCCCATTTTACCAAAAATTCTCGAATAGTGTACTGTTATTATTAATATTACACTGCACTATTCAAATTGATATGGGTGTTTTTTATATTAAATTATAAGGGTTATTAGAAGAAAAATAAAATTTGCAAACCGGTATTTGTTCGATTGTACTTCAGAGGCGGCGGAAGTACTGCCTAAATAATCTTACACCAATAGTACCAAGGTTAGTTCTAGTAAAAGTGAGTAATGGTTATACATATATGTATAATTCCACACCTCTTCTTTGTTTACTTATTGTAGTTATTATATCGGATCACTTTTAATTTCCAAGCGTAAGCTGGTTTTCTCGTCGTTTCATAAATACTAAAGTCAAAAAAAAGGTTTCCCGTTTCGGTCCGTCTGTCATCTGCCTGCCTGTCTGTCTGTCTGTCTGTGTCAATCTTTATTAAGGAGACAATCCTCGAAAATACCGGACGGATTGTTGTCAGATTTTATACGTATGTTAGGAATATCGTGTAAATGGTAAAATACTTTACTACATTATCTCCAAAAATTTGCAGCAGTAAATCTTGTTTAAACTTTATAAAATAAGATATTCTAGCCCTCCACATCTAGATTTTAGAAAAAAAATGAAAATTTTATAACAACCTTTTGAAATTTAACGTTTTAAGGGTGTTATACGCATTATCCGTTCATTTCCTCCCACAAATTGATGACGTTTGAAGAATCAGTGCTGACGTACGCGTCACGGCTAACTAGAGTAGAAATTCAAAAAATCGCACGGTAATATACGTTTGTAAAATATATTTGTTACCGATTACCGAATGGAGTTATTTATACAAGTGTTAATTCTTCATTGTGGCCCTTAATTCTCTTACCACACATCTTAATATGCTTCGAAAATAACTTTTTACGACAACCAAACACACTTAAACTAAATAATTATAGATAACATTTAATTCAGAAGTCACTTCGACCAAAGTTATTTTTGACCGCACCACGTATAGAACTTGTGTGAAACAACAAATAATATTAATATAATGTTAATAAAGACTAATTAATGAAGAATTATAAATCAAGACTAAAATAATCTTTATTCTCAAAACCATTAAAAACTATTAAATACTTGTATTTCTGATAGAAAATGTTTATAATATTTCTAGACGCTTTATATAACTACATATAACCTTGCCTTAACGCTTCAGCACAGGTTATTCCCGAAAATTATTTTTCTGTATCTAAATAAAAATTAAATATCTCAATTAAGATGCACTGCCCACATTTACACTTTGAATAAGACATTCAAAAATGTGCAACATTTATTAAATATCTTTAATCGACGTTATTTTATATACAAAAAGTTACACCAAATTTAGATTGTTCAGAAAACAGAAATTACGTTTTCCTCACTCACATGAAGGTTCCTATGTAACTTAACCTTTATTGACATTTCATGTATAACGTTACACCCTGCAGAGTAAATAACCCCATGAGTGTAGAACAACAGCTTCAATTCCTTGCGAAAGTATTTGTAATAAATGTATCCACATTCTACAAAAATAACCAACATCAACATAAGAATACATTATTCAGCATTATAACGCTCCTGTTTCCAATTTCTTGACAAAATTACCGATTGTTTTCCTCGAATTGTGTAGACAATAATATCTCATGCATATTACAGGATACAACCAATATCCAAGACAAAGATAATTCTCACAAACTCCACATTCGCAATAAAATCTGCATTGTTTCTATTTTAACATTTACCCTTTCAGCGACATAGACGACATCAACAGCGACTCCTTACACCTCGACATATGGGACCATGACGACGAAAGTTCAGTTTTAGAAGCAGTCAGCAAACTAAACGAGGTTCGAGGAGTACGAGGTTTAGGCAGATTTTTCAAACAAGTTTGCCAGTCTGCCAGGCAAAGTTCGCAAGACGATTTTCTCGGCTGTGTTACCATACCCCTCCAAGATATTCCGTCTACGGGTTTAGAAGGCTGGTTTAAGCTGGAAGCTAGATCCCAGCGAAGTTCAGTTCAGGGCAGGATTCGCCTCAAGATGTGGCTGTCGACCAGGGAGAACAGGAGCGCCTCGGAGGAGGATAACTGGACTGAACTGTCCCAGCATGAGAACCTTTATGCCACATTTGTCGACTACGAGCTGAAGAACTGGAATAGGGAGACCTGGACTTGGAGCGGGGATTTGCCAGGACCTGCTTTGACGATTCTGCATCAGCATGCTGTTCAAGGTAGAGTGCTGTGTTTTATTAAAATACTAAATCTGCTACACGTTCCACTTGAGAATTGTTTGCTGTTTTTGTATGAAAATATTTTGCTGTGGTATTCTAGGTGGAGTTTGTTATTAAAATGTTTTATTTCAGGGGAAATGGGATAAGCTGACGTGCTTGACGCTGCGTTAAACACAAATACTTTAAATTTTCGTTCACTAAACGTTACAATTACTAGAGCTGGTCATTTTTTCTTCGTCGTCAATTTTTTTTCTAGGTTTGTACTTAGGCAAAAAATGTTAAAAAAATTATTCTATTCTGAAGTAGCAATATAAAATAAGTTAAATAAATTAAAATATGTAAAAATTCAACGAAATTTCTTTTAATGTTCGATTAACTATCTTCACAAAGGCAATTTTTCAGATGGTTCAACTGTATTAAATGTGACTGACAGCTTATAATCAAGTTATTAATGAAAGTATAGATAGAGTCGCCATATATATAGCTGTCCCAACGGTCCGGCGGCGAAAAATTAAGAATTCCCCGTAAATAATTCAAAAACTTTCGACACAGTCTAACAGAACTCATTTAAAGCTACAACTTTACGTCATTTTCCGATATACAGGATGTTTCAATTGGAAACTTGTGTACACCATAGTTGAATTTTTTAAACGAAACAACCTATAAATCTTTTTACAGATTAGACATAGAAGCTTTTAATAGATCACATGATCAAATTCAGCCAATCAGAGCCTCAGGCTCACGAGTTAATTAGATAGTTAATTCACGTGCTAGAAATCAGGGCTTAGATTCCTTATTAAAAATGCAAAAAAGTGATGTTAAACCTCGATCAAACCTAGCGATTTTTAATCAAAGATTTTCATTATATCTGCACTTTTATGTAAAAAAGGTTAGATTTAAAATTTCTGAACTTGATATCAAAAGGACGCTTATTTTGAGATAAGTTCAGAAATGTTAAAAACGTAAATACCACTTTTGAAAAATTTTAATAAACTGATACATAATTCTCAACTTTCTCAACCCTGTGTAAATAAGTTTAAACCTTATTTATTTTTTTACACATATACGTATGAATGCAAAGTAATTAAAGCCTTGTAAAGTTCCAACCCTTAGTGGAGAAAAATAGCCATTTTATACGTCAAAAGAATTCTACTATTAGCACGTTCAGATAACAAATATCAACGGTGACATACGTTCGTGTTAAAAGAAAATGAAACTTGACTGATTTTGTTCCCAAAAAATCTGGATTCCTAGAGTAAAAAGTCAACACCAATTCATAAATCACACATAGAGAAGTATGCTATTTTATAAAAATTTGTAGAACATTTATACGGTAAAATTTAAAACGACGCCATTATTTTTGGGGGGCAATAACCAAACAAATCCAATATTACTCCTAAAAGTTTATTATTCATTAATATTATAAATTATACTTTGTAAATTTTTTTGAGAAAATTTGGATGTTTAGGCGTAAAACTCACAGCGCAAGTGTAGGAGTATATTACTGTACAACATTTAAATTATTTTAATGTGGAATCTTTTGAAATGACGTCAATGAATTCTTGGTGGGGATGGTTTGCCAAATCTTGGTTAACGTTTTACCAACTACATGATAACATACATATAAAATGTGACAACAACCGGTCCAAAGTTTCGGAAATTATCAGTTTAATAAAAATCGACACAAATAGACAGACAGACGACAGACGACAGACGGACGGAAACACGAGTCCTACTTTTTCGTACTACAATAAAGGTCATGAAACGTCAAGAAAATATGAAAAATATGAAAGTAGCCATTTGTCGGATCGATCCTATTACTATACTTCCTTAGTCCTGAAAATTTAATTATTTTATGATAACGATTAATTCTCTGTTCTTAGAATTTTGGGAAAATTAAATAACAATTGCTGAATAAATGAAAAGAACAAATGAATAATTTTTTTAGTTGGTATCAATAATTTTGAAAAATAATAATATGAATAATGAATATTTACTTACCTACCTAATCCAAAGCCTTTTTACTGATGGTGCAATGGGGATGAATCAAAAAAATTAAGATCGTTCTGCAATTGTCATCAATGTGACAAACTTTCGAAAAAAATCGTTTCCAAGATTTAGGATAAATAAAAGCTCAATATCTTATTACTTCTCAAACAACAATATCACGCCATAAATTTCAAGCAAGATTTACTTAACAAAATTTTATTATGACGTCTACAACGTAAATAACCACCTTAAAGAATGTGGAAAATTTCAAAGTAATCGGTTTTGTAGTTTCTCTGTATTAAACTTTTTTTGCAGGATTTTGACTTTTTTTCGAAGTCTATATGCATGAAATTAAAAATAGGAATGAATTAAGAAATTACAGGTCAAAATATCGATTTTTCGAATTTTCTATTCGAAGTTCCAATTTTCCCACTTTTCGATTTTTGAACTTATCGATTTTTGGATTTTAGAATTTTTTGACATTTTAATTTTTCAATTTCTCGATTGTTGGTGTTTTCGATTTTTCGATTTTTCAGTTTTCTAATATCTCAATTTCTTGATTTTTCGATTTTGATTTCTCAATGTCTGGATTTTTCAAATTTTCGATTCAGTTTCAATTTTTTGGAATCTCTATTTTTCGATTTTTCAACTTTGCGATTTTTTAATTTCTATACTTCTGGTGTTCTGCATTTTCGATTTTGCAATTTGGAAATACTTTAATTTCTCGATTTTTCGTATTTTTGATATCTCGATTTTTGGATTTTTCGATTTTTCTACTGCGATGTATCAATTTTTCGATTGTTTAATTTCTTCGTTTCTCGATTTTACGACTTTTCGTTTTTTGATTCTCGATTTTTCGACTTTTTGTTATTTCTATTTTTCTACTTCGAATTTTTCAACTTCTTGTTTTTCCGATTTTTTGATTTTTAACGTAAAAGCATGTTATTCTGCACATGTTAAGTAAGAATTGCTTTAGAAAATCATGAAATGACGTAAATGAATTTTTCGAAAAAATGAACAAATGAATTGTGATTACCGATTTGTCCTAATAAACTTGAAATGTGTTCAGAATGCGAGAATTTTGGTGGACAATTTTGATTTTTTCCATCAACTTGGCATGTATGTATATTATATTGAGAAAATGTTAACAAATGTTTGATAAGATAATACTAATTTTCGTAATTTTGACATTTCCGACTATTTTTCAACTATTTCCGAAAATTAGCGAGAAAAGTGAGAAACATTTTTCGTAATTTCCAAAATTTTTTTGTTTGAAACAGTTAAAAGACGATCTGTTTCAACGGAAAGTAGTTGGCTTATAGATAATTTTTTGTGGATTACGAATCTAAAATATTTTTGACAATTTGTCTTCAAATAACTGAGAACTGCGGGGAAAATGTTCAAAAAAATCCCCAAAATTTCCAAAAAATTTGAAATCGTTCCAAATGGCTTTGAGCGGACAACGTTGAGTTTCTAGTTTTATAGGGTATTAATCGCAAATTTATCTTATGAAATCCGAGCCCCGCCCACCCACCCTCATTTTCTTCTTACAAGAAATGTGATTTGCCAAAATCCGTCTTACCTCAGTAAATACTAGCCCCACCCATCCGTCCTCTATTTTCTTGGAAGGTCTGTGATTTGCCAATTTCAGTCTTATCTTAAGTACTATATTCTATATTGAAATGGCTAAATAAATTATTAGATAATAATTATATTTCAATTAATTTTGAACAGTGTTTCATCATTTATACTGTTACGAAATAAACCCATACGCCGCCCCGGTACGACGCCTATGGGTCTCTAGTATGTATGCGTTTCTTCTAGTATGTAGTATGACTCATCGGCCGGGCGACGCGGCGTTCACTAAAGGAAAGCCTGGAAGCGGATGTCGCGACGGGCCGAGAAAACCATCGAAGCGGCGTTCTCGATGTATCGAGAGAAACGTATAAATTTAAATAGAGGCCACCATCGGGAAAGAGGATTATTCAACTAGTTGAGTCAAAAGAAATTGCGCCGGAATTATTTTATAATCGCTGTAATTGTTAAGTCATGTAAATTCGAGTTAGTAAGAAATAAATTGTTTAGTTTAACCCACGCCGATTTTAATCATCCGTTCAACGTAACAATACATTGTTACTTCCCGAGTGTAAGCTAAGGAATACGAATAAGGTTCGTCCAACGAATGGCTACTTTCATGTTTTTCGAAGTTTCATGACTCCTACAAAAAAAAGGTCTCCCGTTTCCGTCTGTCTAACTTCTGTCGTCTGTCTGTGTGTGTGTCCACTTTAAATTTTATATGTATGTTAGGATTAGGAATATCGTGTAGATGGTAAAACGCTAACCAAAATTTGTCTGGTCATCCACACCAACAATTTGATGACGTCATCTCCAAAATTTAGGGAGTATATCTAATTAATTATACACGATGGTTTAAAAAATCGATGGACGACGCAATCTATTTTATTGATCAAATCAAGAACGGTTCACCCCATTGTCTCAAAAATTTGAGTATACAGTAATGTTATAATAATAATTATTACACTGTACCTATTTAAATTGATGACGTGACCTTGGTTAAAATATTGATGACGTCATCACACAATTTTGTTATGGAGAAAGTCACTTGAAACACACGCATAGCATACTTCTTTACCTATACTTTAAAAGTCCACATATGTCATTATTTTAAGTTGTGCAAGTTAGTATAAAAAATAAATAAAATTAAAAAAAACATTAAATTAGTCATCTGTTAAATAGACCCTTTTACTAAATTATGCTTGGTAAATAAAAAATAATTCCTCAATTTATTAAAAAATTTAGTAAATGTGTTACCTCTCACAACGGGAACAGGCTACTGAGTGAAATATTTTTTAAGCTTGAGGTTTGGCATATTTGTTTTCAGTCCTTAGAAGATATAAAAAATTGTGATCCTGTAAGATGATACTTCATGTGTTCGTTTTTACTATGTTGCCACGATAATTTATATTTCTTACCCATGAAGATATTACTTTGATACACACTTTGTTTTTTGCAAACCTTGTTAAGGCACCATAACCTTAACTTTATCATGCATTTAATCATATGCCTTAAACATTTATTTATTATGTGTTCTGCATATTCCAGTTGTAACATCTTACTAAAACTATACTATGTTTCTAAAATATGAAATAAAGACTATTACAAATTATGGAACGACTGAGTACGAACTTAAGACAGTAGCTCCTTCTGTATACTCTAGCACAAAATAGAGACCAAGGAAACTAACATCTTTCCTTGAACGAAAAAAAAGCTCTTTGTTTGTCTTAAATAACAGTTAAATAATTTTCTCTGACTTTAACCAGAATGGTTACGGCAGAATTGGTTAGTTGACATTTGTCATTGCACGTCTTTCCCATCAAAAACCTCTAAAACCCTGTAAGTGTGAATCTGACATTTGTGGTACAAGAAAGGAAGCCAACTACAGTAATTTTACAGCTACTTCAGCGTTATCTTATTCACCAACAGCGTTTCAGTGATTCAGACAACATGCAAACAGTTAACATTACACCCTAAGACAACAATAAAGGGGGTCTAAGTTTTATGCTTTATAATACCTAATATAAAGACAACTTAAAATAAAAGGAAGTTACACGAGATATAAAGCACAAACAACGTTTTTACAACCCGAGCGTAAGCTAAGAGAGATATTGTAACAGACGAAATTTCACCAATGGATGAAACATGCATTATTTTTGTAGCAATGGCATGTTTTCCTTAAAGCAGCGATATCTTCCCACTTTCCCTTGAGTCTTGAAATTCTGACATTCCAAGTTGGTGACATTTCAACGGGCACAACCTTAACGAAGCTACGATTTTCTCTTAAGTTGAGTTAATTATGTTGATCTAATTAGTCAAGAACACATAGTTCATGGTATCCAAATTACGACTGATACATTTGCCGACTAATTAACGGTAATTGATTGAATTGACTTCAGTTCTTCTTTATATTCTGCCTAACCAAGTCCGGTGTATAGAACTGAACCAGAATGTAATCCTTTTACCGGCAACACTTGTTAATAAAAGCGAACGTTTCTCAAATCCTTTCAGGAGATTTGACGGAGCTGCAGACTGCCTTAGCACGCTTTGTGGCCGCATGCAGGGTCTATCTGAAGTATCCCCTGGATCCCCGCTGGATGCTCCAATTATTGACAGACATCGAAAGCGCCTGGATGAACTTCACTCTTACCAGAGAAGAAGAAATGTGGCTGGCTGAGAAATTCACCGCGATGCAAGGTAAGTACATGGTTAAATTTTTACGTTTGTTGCGGCCTTTATTAAACCAACAGCGACACTTTAATACCTTACGGAATGGATGTTTTAGAGAGATGGTTGCAACAGTTGCGTCATCACCGCCAGTTGTTTCCGGCTCTTCATCCCCCGTCTTTAGTTCGTCTTGAATACGTTCTACGATGCCTTGCTTACATGTCCAATATGGTAGGCCCTAAACATTCAAGATGTTTCCGTCTGATTAAAACTGTTTTAGAAAGCATTCTGGAAATGTTGCCCTTTCAATAAGGAAATTCGCGGTGAGATAGTGGCAACACTCCGTAAGGGAACGCCTGAATGGTTTCAAAGCCTGAAATCGTCCGTTATGACATCGGATGAGTACGATAGCTCTTTCGTTGACTTTTGCTCCGAAGTTTATGTACATTTACAACACGGACTATCTCATTACCATCCGCTTTTTGAAGGGTACGATGAGTTTTACGCATATTTGAGCAACTTGCGTACTCGGTTGTCACTAATCGGCTGATCTTGTTAATGAAATGAAGCGAGTTTTATGTTTGGTGTTGAAGGTTCAAGTTTGTAAAGCGATAATAGTGACATCAAAAGTAGGTTTTCACGGGGACTATTCAATCAACTGTCGACAACACCAAATTTTAGGTCTATTTTTGGACGATCTAAATTAACGGATAAAATATAGGGGCAAAAAATAAACCACAGCATCTAAAGATTACGTAATAACGAGTCGCTAATATCGTTATAATGACCACCAAAATTGTGTCAAACTGTTTTTTAACATCATAAAGTAGCCATTACAGCATCAGTGCGATAAACTTCTGCAACACTAGGAATGATAGGATTCTCAAAACACATATCATTTTTCTCCAGCAGCTTTTAATTACCAAACTCCATGTCTGCGATTTAGAAAAAAAATTTCGTACACATTTCATCAAATTTGTTTTCCAACAGTATAAACAGTTACGATACAATTTGCACAATAATTAATAAAATGAATGAGGAAAGCTGATTATTATTTTTTATTACAGTGGGTGGGAGACTGGAGCAATTAAAACAAGCTTTTTTTTAAGTTCACCAACCTCACAAATTCTATCAAAAACATACGTGGCAACATAGCATTAGTAATAATATTAACTATAGACAGAAAGAGGTTAAGTTTAATTGTGTCAAAAATAGCATTTATTGAATTATTATTTTTGACATGTGAGGTGACATTCAGGTATTGTAACTGTTAAATATTATACATCTATATTCCCCTATGTGACAGAGGAGTTTATTTAGTGCAACAGGTGGTGCAATTCTGAAAAAAAACACTTTACGTTTGCAGGTTTCCAACATTTTTTGACGTTCCTAACATATCAGACACTGACTTGTTTATGCAGCTGTCAACTATTGTATAGTCGGCGAAATCTAAAGTGGCATATCATAAAACTATTAACTTCAGTCAGATAAGGTTTGTTACCCTTCTATTTACGAATAAACGTCTGCACAGACACGAGATGAAGATGAGTATTCATGGTATTTTGGTTATTTTTGCAATTTTCTCAAATATGTTCCAATTAAAAAATGGAAGAAGTTTCATCATTCATATCACTGTCCTTTTATTTACGTGAACAATAATTATTTCTCAAAAAGGCCTATTGATTAAGAAACTTCATAAATACATCAATAATATGTTTTATACAGTTACTCCTCAGTGGAATCAGTTTTCTTAGATTTTTTCTAAGCGTTGGGATTAACATTTTTTCGAATAGTTTGTGATCCATATTAACAGTGACAATCCGCTGAAAGATCTTTTATATTTTTTGCGGATAACAGTAACATCCAGGGATCTATCCATTTGCATTTCCCGCATTTAATATTGTTATTCTTTTACCCTCCGGGAGGATAGAGTATCTAGCTGGCAATTACCTCAACCATCCATCTTAATGTGAAGTCATGGGTATTGTACCATTATTCACCTAGGTAAATTACATATATGTTCTGCGGACGAAATTGGCTAATTTTCTATTCGTCATCTGACTAAATGGTCATAATCGCACATATTCTATTTAATTTTTACTTCTCGAACGTAAGCGGCTCCATCGAGCGACATGCTACTTTCACGTTTTCTCAACGTTTCATGACCTCTAGAGTACGAAAAAAATGGTCTCCCGGTTCTGTGTGTCCGTCGTCTGCGTCAATTTTTATTAGACACATAATCTCCGAAACTACTAGACCGATTGTTGCCAAATTTTGTTTGTATATTAGGAATATCATGCAGATGGTGAAACGCTAACCAAAATGTGGCTAATCATCTCCGACAAGAATCTTATGACGTTATCTCGAAAAATTCTATATTCAAATGATTTAAATCTTATACTTTTGTGGTGCCCGAATCCGCTTTGAGTTTTTCACTTAGACATCCAAATTTTCGCACTGTGTCACACCAAGAATGGTTCACCCTTTTTATTAATCCAAATATCAAGAACGCTACACCCCAATGTTTTATTATTGGTATTACACTGCACGTGTCGGAATTGAGATACGTGTGCTTGCTAAAATAATGTTGATCGGAACATTTTCAAATGGGAAAACTCACTAGAAATACAAGCATAACCTGTTTTCTAATATTTAAAAATAGATTTTCGAAACAACGTAAAGGAAGTGTAATGAATGATAAAAACGAGAAATTAAGACAAATGATTTCCGAAATTCTTGATATTATAATTAATAAAATACAAATTCGATTTTTGGGCATACAAAAATTACACATTTTTCTACCACTTTAGATTTTCCTAACTATAGGCGACTGCTATTAAATTGGCACCGCATTAACCTCTCATATCGGTGATGTTCGCCGTAAACAATGGCCTGTGTAATTTTTACATTTGACAAATCTAAATAAATAGTAATTTATTGAACAGTAACTGAAAATTTCTGATTGTCTGACACCTTTTATGTTGGTACTTAAGGTGCCTTGGCAGTGAGATCGGAAATGCACTCGAGTGTTACTAATTTGTACTATAGATTCTGCAACCCTCTATACTTTATGCTTCTACCTGCATCTTTTCACTTGTGGATTATGTTCAGTGGGAGGGTTTATAAGTATTCGGGTTAAGTTGAAAGTTTTACCTGCTTTCGGTAATGAAATTGTTTACTCAAATTCCCAAAGTACTTTGGGTAGATTTGAATTGGTCTTCATTCCAATAACTGATTTCACATCTTACTTGTCGGTCGTTATAGTAACTTATAATCTTTATTTATGGTTGCATAATTTATTTTTTTTATTTTGTAATTTATACAAAAAATTGATAAATTGAACGAAAACGAAAATAATAGCGGGCTAGTGTAAAATATATTATATTTAATGGTTTTTTGAAATTTTTAAAACGGTCAATATTAACGATCATATTTCGTTCTAAGTTTTAAACGTTTTTTGCATTTTTTTAAATAATGAAAGGTTTTTTTTTCAAAAATATGGGAATAGCGGGGTAGTGGGTAAAGAACTGTATCGGAAACAATTGCCATATTTTTTTCATCTATTAAAATAACAAAGAAAAAACGTTTGAAAATTTGTGGCTTTGGCGGCTTTGATGCCAAGGCACCTTAATAATGAATCTAGATTTGTACACATTAGGTTTTAAAATCACCGTGGCCTGTAATTGTAATATTTAATTCTCAAGGTTCATTTTTGAATGTTTGAAAAGTTGTGTGGGTGAAACTCCAACAGTACAATTAATTAACATTACGTTTCTTACTTACGTCATCAAATATTTCTCACCTGGTGCTTCAGAAAGAGGATGATTAATTTCCTCTTTAGTTAAGGTCTTTGTTCCTTTATTCCATAAATCGTTTATAATTATTTTCGTATAGCACTTTTGAGTGATTAGAGGGTAGCAGTTTTTTTCAAAAACTGAAGGGTTCAGAAATGGATGAAAATATAACATCTTCTACATTAAATTGTTAATATTATTTTAGCAGCAAAGACCCTTTTCGGTTGAGAAATGCTGCGACAATTTTCTCTAGCGACTGCAATACACTAAAATATGCATATCTGGGGATAACAACTTCCTTGTAGTCATGATCCCCGCTTGAACTTTTGATAAACAGATCTCGAACCAGTCATTTACTCCTAATTGAGTTAATAAATGAAAAGTATCTTATCCTAGGGAAATCGATGGAAGTAGTTAGACCAAATTGAGAATGGGGAGAAACTATGATTAGCAAAAAGTTTTAATAACTTAGGGATTAAATTGTCCACTCGAGATGCGACAGACTCTGATGAGGAAGCAAAAGTGCTCACCCAATTAAAATCAGCTTTTTGCTACGATATACTAGCTTTAGAACACAAATGACTGAACTAGAATATCTCCAACGAAGTTTTCGTATCGAGATCTACCTTTAAGTAAACCAATTAATTATTTGTTGGAAAAGAACCTACATTCTACAATCGTAGAAACTGTTAGATTTGTTGTGTTGTTGCCAAGGTATTTTCTTAACGGTAAACTTAATCCCGTTTTTATAAAGAAACGTTAAAATGATAATGAGTAGTGTGGTGTGAAACAATTTAACACTTTCGGAGCGTAAAATCACCACCAGTGATCAATAAACAAAACTTGGGTAAACTATTGACCATAAACAAATTAACAAAACAAGTCAACAAAAGCCGCATAAACGGCAGAAAATGAACAAAAATGTATTAAATAGTTAATGCCAGAATTCCACCTGAAAATAACACAACTCCAAGCAGCACGATTTGGAAGATCTCATAACACGACTATTCTTACACAGATTTCCGAATTATCTAATTATATTTTTTTATGATATACCATCGTTTACCTCAAAAATCGAGGATGACTATGAATGCGGTTTCCGATTTTGATTTTTCTAACATAGCTTATAGACAAAACGACATCTATAAGCCAAATTTTCTGCAGCCTTATGCTTAAACTTTCTTTAATTACTTTCAGTAAAAAACATTTGAATATCGAACATCATCACGTGTTAAATTATTTCAGTTATTCGTAACCCTCTCAACATAAGACAGTTTTTCTCAGTTTGGCTTAAATCTCTAGAGAAAATAAGTATACGATACATTATTAGGAGAGACAACACATGTGCTACAAATATTTCGTGCCAACACATTGGCGTGAACAATATTTTTCACGTATTTTACATGCAGATGGCATATTACTGTTGAAAATTCACACACGTCGCTGCCAGCAACATGTTCAGCTACAAATATTATCCGTTTACACGTCAAAATCCTCCACCTATAAAAATATAAATATCCCTATCAATTGCGCCGGAGCGTGTTCAACGAAATTGAATTTTATGACCCATGTCATCCTTCCTATAACCAAATGTTTCCCGCGGACGCTAACAACCATTTGTTGTAAATGTGAAATTGATTTTTTAATGTAGTACGATTATTTATATTTTTTCTACCCAAATTGGGTGCTTTAATAGAAAGTAAGTGCTTTAACATAACTGCTGTAATTTACATTTTCAAGATTGGTTGTTGTTTCAAATGTCACTATCAAAATATGTTATTTGATAGTAACATACCGTGAGGTTTTTTTTTTCTCTGAACATAGGATAATTAATGTTAAGTTGGTTGCATACCTGCTTGTAATGGATTGACCTGGACTTTTAAAAACTGAACATAAAATGTAATCGAGATTTAGGATATGTCAAAGATATTGCCATTGACATTTGGCTCTACTGGCTTCATGTTAAGGTATTGTAATAAGTACAAGTTTAAAGAACAGAAAATTTACGTTATTGACCTTTTTAAAACAATTTCGTCAAAAATTTTACTGTAAATGTCATCGTTGACATGGTCTACTCCTCAATTATTACGAATCTTATGTGATCTTATGTTCAGTTTTAAGCCCAAATCAATCCATTGGAAGATGAATATGCAACCCAACATACATTAATTTATCCTATGTTCAGAGAAAGAAAAACCTCACGGTATAAAATGAACGTCGACAGAAGGAAATAATTTTTTATAATAAAAATTAAATTTTCCCAATTTAATATACACATAATCTTAACATTGAGTATGTTTTGGGCACTTACAGTAATGCCAAGTAAGGTAATTGTTATAACGTTTTGCCGAAAATCAGTTTCACCGCTAACCGTTTTACTGCCAGGTGATTAATCTAACTGAACCCATGGAGATTTGGAGTATCCAGACAAGTATAAATTTATAGACACTGCTGGGCCCAAACATATCTTTTTATTATAATGAAAATTTAAGCTTCAGATGTTACAATCTGGCATTTGTCGTGCCAACCATGACAAAAGTCTCCAAAATTTTTAAAAATCCAATTTATATTTTTAAAAGGGGAAAAGGTTCAAAAAGTAGAAAAAATAGTATAAAATACACGTTTTGTAAGATAATAACGTCTTATAAGATTTGTTTTTTAGTATATTATTATAGTACTGTTCTCTATATGCTGTGGTTTTATTTTTTACGAATTCGGTTTCACCTATTATAGTGCACTGAGACGGTTTTAATTATTTAATTTAACTTTAATTAATCAATAAATTTTTACCAATAGAAAAGACAAAATTGAAAAAATAAGGGGTGTCTAATTAATGGCCGTACATTGGAAAATGTTATGTTTTAATAAAATGACAAACAATGATATAACAAAGGCATTATATGTATTATTATAAAGTACTAATAAGTCAATTCTCGTCCATTGTTTTGTGATAATCTCTATCATTGTTTTTCGAATTTAATAAAAAGTTATAACCATCTAAAAACCCAAATTGACTGTTTAAATCTGATTCGTGCACCCAACGACGAAATAATAGTGAACCATTTTTGTATAACGCTGGTATAATTTTAAAATTTGAAGAATTTTCTCAAAAAAGTAGTTTATGCTGCAACAAAATGTTTTTTGTTCACATAAAATTTTGCGACCGAATTCCACAGATTTTCGCGAATCATTAACAAATATTTTAAAAAACCTTAATAAAAGTCATAGAAAATATATATGTTCACTGTCTTTTTTCATTTGCAGAAAGCACCTTTTTGTTGAAATTTTTTGTTATAACAAGGTAATTTTAGCCGTTTTTAAATTTAATGACAGAAGTCAGAAATGTTGCAAGTTGATAATATGATTTCTAAATAACAATAAATGTGGCAAATCAGCCTCAAGTGAATGTCAGTCTCACGCATTGACAAGACACACCGTTTTGTCAATGAATCATATCCAACGTCAAGAAAAAAATTCATGGCTCAGTTTTGTCTAAAAACATCCTGAACGGTTTATACTACATATGATCAAAAAAAAATCTTCTAGTAAGCCATGAAATTTATTTTTAAAATAGTGATATTAGAATCGCAGCTGTTTGGTACTTTATTAAGAGTTGTTTGACCGTAACTGTCAACCTAAACAAGGAATGAGTTGGTGTTACCAACATCATTATTTCGAAAATAAATTTCATAGACTACTAAACAACTTTTTTTCGATCGTGCGCTACATAGTAGACCATTTCATATTTTTCCCGTGATTTTATGGCCATTGAATCTTCGTCGAACATACCAAATTTACTTTTTATCACAATTCACCGCGAATAATTACGAAAATTCAAAACTGAATCGTACTTTCAGCATGTTGATTAAGCATATGTCTTTTTGTTTTTTTTTTAAGAGTCTTAGGTTTTACGTCTTCTTTTTTAATTCCCAATCGTTTGATTTTAATATTAAAAAGAGTATACTTGAATAGTTGAACGAATTTTTCTTTCCTTTATGAAGTGTTGGACGTAAGATTTTTATTTTTACGGGTACATTGCATTGTCCGATATTATCTTCGCTTAATACCCTATATAAACATTTATGTTTATTGGGTTATATAAATATTATTGTTATTGTTATTACCTTTATCTAAACCATCCCTCATTCAAACCTATTTAGGTAAAGGCCCTAGCGGATTTTATCATTCTTGTACGGCTGCTAATCGGACAACCCTTATATAGAAATATTTCGCTTGTATGGTAACTGCATTCGAAAAAACCGAACAAATGAATGGCATGACGTTTTCAACTTAAATTAGCTGAATTTTTTACATAAATTTCACATGAACGGGTCACGTGCCGTTAATTTCAACCTAACTGCGGGGTACGACATTCGAATTGTCGACTAAAATTTTACAAGAATAATAATTCGGTGTTTGTCGATCTACACGTCGTTTGAAAATTCTATTAATTCAAGCAAATACGCTTACTTAATCTAAATATTTGACGAAAATAGTCTAAAATAACAAGAAAACGAGATAAAACACCACTTCTCGAGATTTAAACTAGATACGACTAGCCAGACTTAAAACAGTTCCCGTTAACGATCGTTTAGGCCATAAAGAGTCTGCATTTTCATGTAAGTGTCATTTAAATCCCATTAACACAGAAGCTTAAAGTTGTCTGATAGCGTGCACCTTGTTAATTAGCACCCTGTTGATAACCTCTATGATCATAATTTATCCGTTTAGATCCTGTTCCGTCGCGTTAAAATTTATATGCTGCCCGCTCGCTAGACATCTATATCATTACTTAACGCCACTTCTTTCTCATTTCAGCACGAATGGGATTCCGTACTTTAGTGTGGTGTTTAAACAGCTAGATAAGTTAATGTCAGACGAAGTAATCTCATTCTTGAACCAGAATGAACATCCAGACGCGGCTTACAGCAGGCTAATCTTCTCTGTTTATTTAGAAGTCAAAGACTTGGCTACATTTCATCAGAACTTGCCCTCTGGTGGCGACCATAAACTATTACTAGTTCGTTGTCACGAATGGTTCGAACCTTCAGTGAGTTGCTGGTTGATCGTTTGCAAAGCGAAAGCTCTGCAGAGGGTGCGAACATCGGTAGAACTTCAAAAGCCGTGCGAAGGAGACAAATTAGTGAAACACAGTTCCTCAGCAGTGGATGTTGTAGCAATGTTTTGTCAATTAAGGGACTTCTGGAGACTTCTGCAATGGCCTAAGGCGCATTCAATACCCTTACTATCGCAACTTCTCGACTGTGTATGTTCGGCGGCGTTGCTGTACGCAGACATCACTTACCAGGGTTTGATGGAAACGGGATACTTTGACAGGATGGGACCTTTTAAAATTTGTGACGAAATGTGCATAGCTTCGAATAATTTGGAATATGTTTATAAATTCGTTTCGTTATTAGGTTTGTTCTCCGACGTTAATTTAACTTCGGATGTAACATCGACTTGTTGTAGAAAATTACTTCGACTTCGTGACATTAGAAACAATAGCTTCGGAAGTGCAGTGCGCTACATTAACCAACCAATTAGATAGCACACTAAGTCAATTTCAAGTGAGAATCATGGATATTATAAAGCGAGTGGGACCTCAGATGCAAGAAGCTCTCAGAAAGGCTATGTTTCATGTCGCTTGGTCACCTGATACTTTGCCGACTAGTCAGGCTGTAGAGCCTCTCTTCGAATATTTGCATACACATTTACATGCACTCAACTTGTACCTGTTGCCTCAGAACTTCCAGAAAGTTCTATACGACGTACGGAATTTTCAATTATGTTTTTGTTGGGGATCGGCACGCAAGAATTTACCTTCAGACTACTGATCCCGGAATTACTACAGATACTAAGAACGAAAGTAAATTAAAAGTTAAATGTTTTGAAACTTTAATCCAATTTTTTTGATATACAATTTCCAGCGAAATCTTCTACTGGATATATTTATGTACGTGTGAACAATTTCTTTTTCTCAGTTAGATGTTTCTACAATGTCTCCTCTAGAAACAGTAAACTTTCTTCAGCTCTAACAAATTTTCCAATCAAGTTTCAAAACATTTAGACTTGAAAATCTGTATAACCAAAACTCTTGCCTGCTTATCCGTACCAACAACTTTTAGTATTAGTAAATCCGATTTCTGATTTGGATTTGAATTCCGGTTTTAGTAATTTTCAGTGAGTTAGCTATCAAGGGGGTCATCGTTGAAATATTAAATTATATCTTAACGAAAAAAATCCAAATCCAAATCTAGATCTGGAGCTAACTACAATGTGGTCAACTTTTATTAATCACGACTTTCCAGGTTTGGGAGTACACCCTAGCTGAACTAAACCATCAAATGGACGGCACTACCACCAACGATGAAATGCCGCCAATGTTTCACGAGCGACTGCATGCAGCTCTTGAACTGATGGTGGACTTTTTCCACTGCGAAGGGAATGCACTTAGCTTGGAAAGTTTGCATTCAGCGGCTTTTTGTCAAATTGAACAAAGGCTGCAGTATCACAGAACAGACACGGAAAGTCTTGTAGAAATCTTCTATAACCAGCGACTCCAGGAACAAATAAATACAACTAGCAGTCCGTATGGAAATCTTGCTGTACGGGCTTACTTTAATCATGATTCGCTTTGTGTGGAGGTAAGTTTCGACGTTGTTTTTCAAACTTAGGGCTATTCGGATTTATTTAAATTAATTTAAAAAGTCACAGTTTCTAATAATTTTCTATTCAATAATTTTGAGAGGAAATAATAAGGTAAAAGTAGAACGCTTCTTACCATCTTATTTGAATAACATGACACATTTTTTGTTTGAAATTTGGATGTACAGACGTAAGATGCAATCTGCATAAAATCATGTTCTATTCGTGGCATATTAATTTCTGGAATTATGGACTTGATGGCATGTTAGATGCACTAGTCCCTTAAATGCCTCCAAAATTGCATATATTAATGTCAAACTTAGAGTTCATTAAAGTTAGACTAGATATAGTGCATTTACGACTGTCACAGCATTTTACAGCCAATTCCCCATAAAATTCTAAGCAATGGCACCTTACACAAGCAGTTAGTAAAAAATAATGTTTATTTGTTCCTCATATAATAGAAGAAGGTCTTGCCCAGACAAGCGGATTACTGTGCCCATTGTAACGACCTCATAAAAATTATAGCATGTTAAGTAGTAATTAAGCCATAACCACACTATTAGTTTCTTCAGCCGAATTATCAAGCCTCAACTTTGGTTAGAGAAACTCACACTCTTTCTTATGCCATATGTTGGTACACAAATGCTAAAAACGACAAAAATTCCACAGTTCTAACTCTCTAAAATTTTAATATTGTTTAAGATTACAGTGCAATTTGTGATTATTGTTATGATGTACCACAACTACCTCTGATGGTTTTAAAAAAAGCAATTGACCCGTGTTGCAAAACCATATAATTCAAAAGTTTCTTTGAGGCAAAAATCCAGAAACTCCTTCTGAAGAAAAAACGAACATCCTTAAGCAATTACGCTGACTTCATTCTTAATATACCCTCACCTAAAACTAAACTAAATTCTCTTCTCAACCACATACAAAAAATACTTTAAAATTTCAGCTTGAAGCCAAATTAACTTCAAAAAGAAGTTTTACAATTCTAATTGCTTTAGCTGTAAGGTTCATTAAATTTTGAAAGTTGAAAATATGTTTGAAATTATGGCGATATACTCGTATATTAATACCAACATTATTTCCAGCAATTGAAAGTTCCTCTACTGCCCTTAATCATTTTTTGTCTAAAAGACAAGCAAAAAATAACACCAAATGTCACATGATATTAGTGCTACCCGGGTTAATAAATAAGAGAATAATTTCTTCTTGCGCAGATACCATACAGCGTGATTTTTGGTTAGACTAAGTAATTATACCATGTGATCTAAAAAACGTTGTCTAGTCCGCCATAAAATTAACTTATTTTTAAAAAACTGTGATGGCAGTACTTTTGTTTTCCATTAGTTTGGCATTTGTTTAATTGTGTAAGACATACGGACAAACAGACAGACGGAAACAGGAGACCTATCTGTTCGTACTCTCGGGGTCATGAAAGCTTATGCACGGGAAGTAAAAATACTTGAAATGGAACATACAATTTTTATTATTCAAAGTTATTACCGAAACGGAGTCAAGAAAGAAAATGGTGAATAATCTTGCTCTTTAATGCGAATCATAGAAGAATTTCGCAAAAAATCTCCCACAAACTCAAAAATGAACAGCTGTGGCAGTGCAGATTTTGCTAACACAGTTTTTTTAAAAACAATTCCAGGGCTAACTAGACGACGTTTTTTATCATATGGTGTTTTCAGTTGCAACTTCATATACAGAATACACATTTTCGGACTTAAAAACCTGGTTTTCTTATTATTAAACGCATTGTTATGTGGTTCGGTGATTTAAAATCGGCGTGGGTAAACCTCAACAATTTATTTCTCAAAAACTCAAATTTACACGAGCGATTACACAGCGATTATGTACAAAATAAATCCGGCGCAACTTGACTGTACTCTTCTAGACTCAACTGGCTGAATGATCATCGTTCCCGAAGGTGACCTCTATTTAAAGCCATACTTCCCTTCTAGAAGTTTCGCAGTCGAGATGTTTTTGAATTGCTCATCGTGACTTCCGCCTCCAGGCTTTTGTCCGGCCACCGTCACCGACAATGAGTCATCATCGCCGTACATACTAGAACCCAAAGTTCGTATCTTCGTTCAACTGTTCAGTTCAGTCTAGCAGTTACAATCGAATATCCCAGTTATCCAAAAATAAAAGTCAATGAACATAAAATGACTGTACGGATCCCCCTAGAGGGTGATCAAAAAATGACGGATAAGCTCGATGGCACGTTGTTGAAAACTTCGAAAAAAATGGTAAAAAAAAACCTGAACTAACTTTTAAAAAAAGATTTAATGTAAATTTAATTAACAGTCTAAAATTCCGATAAAAATTGTCAAAAATAACATCTGTCAACAATAAAAAAAAACGACGTTGTGGATCATATTCTAGCAAATTATTATTTATTGAATTATTAATAACTAATTATTTAACCGTGTATTAGACATGCATTTCATTAAAACAAATCAGAATTATGAAGTTAATTCTTCAACTTTAAACTTCAATATTTTCAAAATTTTCTGCAAGGATTTTATTTTTTTAACCTTTTTTTTTCGAGTTCTTCAGAGCTTATCCGTTATTTTTTTATCACCCTGTATATTTTTGGTTTTTCGAAAATGTCTTCAACTTTTGGCTTTAAAATGCCCTAAATATATACACTGCCAGACAAAAAAACCCGGATACTTGAATATTTGTAAATTTACGCCAATTGTTAATGTTACAACTTTTTTTTACTTTTGTTCTGTTGTCACATGTTGCAGAATAATATAACGTTACATTAATTACTTGCTTTTTGGAATATTTTTTACAAAAGTTCGGCCACACGCAAGTAATCACACAAAATTCAAGTGTCCGAGTTTTTTTGTCTGGCAGTGTATTATATATTTTTTTTTTTTCAAACATATACATAGTTAGTACTTGATACTATAAAATCTGCATAGATTAAGCGTTTAACCTTTAGTTTTGCCGGAAATGATAATTTTTTTTGTTTCTAATAGAATCTGGTGTGTTTTTAGGTGGATTTAATAGAATGCTTTTTTATTTTTTCAGTGCTGTAGTCCTTGATATTCTACTTTACTGGTTTCACTGTAGTATCCAACAAATCCAGCTTCTTTGAAAAATTATAAAATTTGATTGTATTTATTTTGTAATAACCCCCCCGATACGACGCCTATGGGTTTTGTCGAGAGCTTTCTAGTATGCACGGTGATGATGGAGGACTCATGAAAAGAAGTATAGGTTTAAATATAAGCCACTTTCGGGAACGAGATTGTTCAGCCAATGAAGAGAGAATCCAGTCAAGTTGCACCGGAATTATTTTGTATATAATCGCTGTGCAATTAGTCGTCTAATTTGACTTACTGAGAAATACATTGTTGAGATTTTATCCCCGCCGATTTTAATTACCGATCATCGTAACAATATCGATAGTTAGATATAGTAGTGATAGTGTAGGAACGAAAAAAGTGACCCATAAAGGAATCGAACCCACGACCTTCGCGCCATCAGCATGGCACTTCATAATTGAGCTAGTCGGGCACTGCTCCACGTTCTTCTTATACTGTTACTTTATAAAATATTATTTTACACAATTTGAATTTTATTTTTCGAAAATCTGGATATTTAGGGCGGATTCATAAACCACAAGTACAGATGTATTTTATTTTATAATATTTAAATAGCATTTAATATGCAGCATTTTGAAGTGGCTTCATCAAATTATTAGTGGGAATAATCAGACAAATTTAATGCTTATAAAATTTTACACTATCGGTCCAGTAATTTTGGAGATGACCTGTGTAACAAACATCGACACATATGACAGACGGACAGACGGAAGCGGGAGATCTATTTTTTCATACTAGGGATCATGAGGCGCTCGGAAAATAAAAATACAAATTTTTAACCAATGGATAGAATTTTTTGAATGATTTTTCAATGCACTTAAATACTTTGAAACGCGTTAAAAAATTAAGAACAAAATAAACAGGTGGTGGTTATTTTTTTAGGAGGGGTGGCGTACGCCCGTACTGCACCTCGGACCGAAGAGGTCACTTTTAGGCCACAGAGGTTGGCGCTCTCTACGGGAACGGTTGCTCGGGCGCCAACTCCCTCTCCGAAGAGGGAGCACCTGGGGTACTTTATCCGGAGAAACACATCTTCACCGGTCTCGGCAGTGGCCGCAACATAAATAAAACTCCGTCTCAAAATCCCTAGCGATCGGCACCCCCGTCGCGGCTTGCGACTCCGGAAAATTTGCTTTGTTACACTAGTATAAAGTAATGGATAATCATAAATTTTTCAATTCTACAGAGTGTTTGTCATTATTAATAAAATAACTATGACTGAATGAAAGATTATATGAAGAGAATTTTCCAAAAAAACAAACTCCAAGTATTAAAAAAAAAGTATATAAATAAGAAACAAACTTTTAATCTTTTGGGAAGCCTTAATGTGAAAAATACGCCCCAAAATTAATAATGTTTTCTTTATATTTCAAAAGGAACTATCTCTAAGCACTTTGGCGGCCAAAATATTACATACCCAAAAAGGTCTTAGATCCCTAATAAAAAAAAGCAAACCTTAAAAAAATTACCCCTGTTCGTTTAATACAAAAAACCTCATATACCTATATACAATGTGAGAAAGTAGGGCTCCCATTTCCATCTATATGTCGTTTATTGTCATCTGTCGTTCGATACCAACATTATTGATAAATAATCTCCGAAACTACTGGACAAATTGCTGTGATTTTTTTTTTTTTTTTTAATATAGTATCGATATTGAAGAATAGATAACCACTGAAAGCATAAGAAAATATCCTATTTGAAAACAAAAAATTCATATCATTTTCAAAAAAACAAAGACAATATAATGCTATTGTGTATTCATTTTATTGATATGACATGTGAAGAAATATCTATAAAATACATATAAAGTCCCATGAACAGCCCGTGCTCAAACCCTTTGAATTTATTAAGACTTGAGGACGCATGTTGCCTAACCACTAGGACGCTAGGTTCGTTAATCACGTGATTTTATTACTACATCTATTTTAGCATTAGATTTAGCATATGCAAATACTTTCGTCGAGACGCCAGTGTAAGGAACATTTCCGCTAGCTTTTTGCAAGTATGTATATCAAACAATCTTAAACAACGAAAATTCATCTAGGAAGTCTGCTCTTAAATACAAGATTTTTTTTGTCAACAATTTCATTTGATTTAATGGAACAACTGAATTGAATTTACGGAAATAATTGAGTTGAAACCCCAACACGCTCTCTATTTACTGTTCTTTCATAACGGCAAGACTCCCGTTTCTATCACATCTCTGTTCCCATAAAATCTGAACATTCCCGAGCATTTCATTTCCTTATGCCGCGTTATTGAAATATCTGGTTAAATTAATTTACCCCGCATTTCATTACAGGTTCTCCACGCAAGAGACATCATACCTTTGGATCCAAACGGCTTCAGCGACCCTTTTGTCATAATCGAACTTTTGCCACACCGGGTTTTCCCTCACTGCAACGAACAGCAAACCAATGTACACAAAAAGACCCTTCATCCAATATTTGACGAGTGCTTTGAATTCAGCGTATCGCTAGAACAGTGCCGTTCTCTTGGGGCCATGATTGCCTTCACAGTGATGGATCATGATGTCCTCACTGCTAACGATTTCGCGGGGGAAGCTTTCTTGGCTTTAGGAAGCATACCAGGTGTTGCCGATACCACTGGTGTAGACAATTTCCATGGACTTAAACCCGTTGATTTGGTTCTTATGCAACAACACCAAAAAAGTGAGTGTGGTTGAAGCCTTGCGATGTAAAAGTAATTCGTTCTTTTGCAGATCATCCCGTTCTACAGATATTAGAATCTAGAGTCGCTGATCGTTTAGCTGTCGAATTTGTACGAAAACAAAAACAAAGATTCGCAAACAAATAACCAAAGTAAAAATATAGTGTAATATAATGTTTTGTACATCTTTCTTCCTACGAAATGGTTGTCAAAAATTCAAGCGCTATTTTTTCTACGTGATGTGTCTATAAGACAAACTAACAATTTTCGAACTAAGTCGCGCACTGAACATGTACATATTTAAATGTAATACAAGTATTTTTTATATGTTCCACTACTACTTATCCAAACATAGCGGAAATATTGTTGGTTTGTCGCCTGCTAAGTATACTGTCATTCAGTCTAGGGAGACTTTTCTAACAACTACTTTTCTATGACTGATAAAATAATTTCATGTTAGTTGTAGATTTCTTACAACAGTACAATGCGTCGAAAATGCCAGAACTAACGAACAGAAGACAACACAAATTCTATATACACAACTATCTTTTTTAAATTTATATTGACACAATTCGACAGATCTATTAAAACCGTACACTGAATCAACAACGTATACTTCTTATACCATGTATATGACAATCTATATGCAACGCACTCAATTCTTACTCTCTATCACATATATCTGGCATTTTAGATGTGATCAATATTCGATGTTGCCCTACGTAGATAATGATACCTGCTAAACGAAGATTTTCTAAATCAAAATCTAAAAGTATATCTTGTTTACAATAACTTTCAACTTTATCATAAATTTTTTAACAAAAAATAATTTATAAAAAATAAAATTAAACTTTAACTTGAATGCTAAACATTTTTATCCACAGTAGTTAATCATTAATTAAGTAAATAAATTTAATATTCAAATACGACAGTAAAACTGTATATGACGAGCCTAACATACGTACTTACTGCATATTACTAATATGAAATCATTTATGTACCGACTTTTAAAATATACATACATGTTGTTGTTAATCGTTTTTATTACTGTCGTATCATAAAATAAAAACTAAAATAACAAAACCATAAAATATTAAACAATGTAGTCTGTTGTTATTTACGCACATAAAACAATCATGACCCTATTTAAGAAAATACAAATAATTTATATATACACCAGTTATTTATTTACATAAAAGTTTATATGGATTGTAAAGAACCTATACATATCTTGCACACTTCCTAAGCGGCAATCAAAGTATATTCTTTGCTTAATCATTATTTACGCTTTCCGACTGTGTGATATCAAAGCTTAAGCTTTACACTGCAAATTCATTTTTATTTTTTTAACCCTTCTTAACGAGCTTAATGTACTGTATGTCAATTGAAATCAAAATATTGTATCTATATATTTAATTAATGTGATATATCTTGTCTTTGTCTACCAATCAATAAAATCGACTAAAACATTTTTTGTAATTTTATTGTTATCCCCCGAATTTTGACTGTAAACTACACCAAAAAATCGAAGCTTTAATTTTAATCTCACTTTTAATCATTTCAATAGTGTGTTAATCCAAACTTCCCGCCTTTAAATTGACCTTGAAAAAGTTTGAAAGGAGCGCGAAAAATTCCAAAATTCAAATTTTGGCCTTGGCTGTGATCGTCTAACAAAATGGAAACCTACGTTGTGTGCTTTTTTTTTAATATGGCGGGAAGACGTTCTTTCATACAAGTGAGCATACACTGCGTGTGAGTCGAGAGCGCAAGACATAATTGACAAAATTTTTGGGAGGGGCGAAAAGCGCACCCCTCTTAGGAGGAAAGAAGCTGCGAGGATTCACTCCTCAGCCCCAAAAACTCCCTATCGTATATTCACCAACATATTACATTTCAAATGAAACAATTAAAAATATGAAAGAAAAAACACTCGCGAATTGACAGACATACACATAGGAAAACCAAACAAGTACAAAAACCCTACGTTTATGTTTTGAATCAATGCAAATATTTGAATATCACAAATTTAATAGAAACAAAGCAAAATCTGAATTAAAATAACTGAATGCAAATATTCAAGTTATTACGGGCGTGTGGCGTCAAATTTTAAATTACGGCAGTTAACAAGAGCACAACAAAAATACCCCCGGGGCGTTTTAGCACAAGCGGAGTTTGGGGCTACCGGTCGAGGCTGTTCTCCCCCCACAACGGTGATTCTATCTATCGCAAGCCTACCCGCACAGCACATTACACATCTCCATTACGAACATGCCGTCCGAAACTAAGCCGTTACGGTCCCAGACCCGTAGTTGGATCTCAGCTAAGGACAGAAACCGAGAACGTTACAACATCGGCGGCCGCCCCTGAATCTATCCAAACCTTTGTGCAGGTGACACAATACATCTCGCCAGTTCGACTAGAAACCGCACTTCGCTTCTGCCACGTTTTCTGTGTTATTCGACCTCAATTCCATTTTAAATGTTCAATTTCTTATGACTCTGATATTAACAACAACTGAACAAGTGTTACAGTTTCAAAAGAGCAATAAACAACATTTAAATTCGCCATACAATCTTGTGAAATTTTAAACAACAAATAATTCTTATGTGGGATTAAAATTGGACATCAAATAATTTATACGATGAACACATTCATCAACAAAATATTTACAAAACAAAACTAGTAAAGATTTATGAAAAACAAAAGATCTGGTTTGAAATAAACTTGTGCAAATAAAAAGTATGTGAGGTTAAAACTGAGCATGAAATTTGCGTCCAATGAAAATTATACAACAAAGGAAAATTACTGAGGTTAAAACTGTGAGATTAGAGAAATATTGTTATGAGGTGAAAAATTGCAAAGTTAACAAAATTTACATGAGATTAATATTTGTCACACTTTATCAACGATTCAAACAAAGAGTTTACATTATGTTAAATTATATCACGATCCAAGTGATTGGTTACTTCCAAAAAAAAAAAAACAATTTACTTTGAGAGTTTAGAATACCGCGAACTGATTACCCCAACAAAACACATAGGAGTAATAAATAAACACAAAAATATTCAGTCATCGTTGCGAGGAAAAAGCGTCTCGGTGATGTAATTTTTATCGTTGCGAGGGAATACCTCGATGGTGTTATTAATCTCTAGCGTTGCGAAGACATGCTTCGTTGATGTTATCAATCTCTAGCGTTGCCAAGAGATGCCTCAATGAAGTCATCAATCTGTAGCGTTGTGAGGGCATGCCCCGGTGATGTAGTCAATCTATATCGTTGCGAGGACATACCTCGATGAAGTAATCAATCTTTAGCGTTGTGAGGGCATGCCTCGGTGATGTAATCATGATAACGATGATGATAATAACGGTGATAACCGCCTAAGGGAATATTTATTAATTATTTTAACCTCCCGTCAGTTCGCGGAACTCGAAGATTGGAAAAGTGCCCCTAAATCAAACACAAAATATGGAGGGCAAAAACTGTTTATTCTTCCATTCTGGCGAGGGAAAATCTGTGAGCCAACTGCAAAACCCTCTCCAGCTCTCACAAAAGAAATCGAAATAAACGTTACTGTGCCAGGAGTCCAAATCATAGATCACAGTTACGGATGACTCTGATCTAGATCTGATCAAGTTATCCTCACTAATCCTCGCTGTGCAAGACCTGTTACATAATTGACTGCATCATCCACTTACCTCGTGTCTCGTGTTCGGCCAGATCGGAAGGCCTACTCATTCCACGAAGAAGTAACATTACAGCAATTGATCGATCAACTTCAACTTGTTAATTTTGTTACTGTTGATTAAAGGTGCTAGGTTGAGGACAAATTAGAAAACTGCCCTCGTATTAATTAAAAATATTATTAAAGTCGTAGACAAAAATCCCACCTTTATGGCTGATTCTTCTTCTTCTCCTCCTATTATTTGTAGCGATTCCCCTCATCTTCAACTACACGGACCCACTGTAAATAAAGAAAAATAACATTTAGCAGAAGTTTTGTATACTAAATTTGTTTAATTCACTATTACATTAACGTTTCTAGTGTAAAATGTCAATTAAAAACCTAAAAATAGAATAAATTAAACAAATAATTCTTACCCTTCTTAACACAGCGCAGAAACAAAGTTCTAGCAGCACTATTTTTCACTACGTGTTTTAATCGCGTACTCGGAACTAAAAACCGCATACTTGGGAATTCACTTCAATTTTTACGCTTCTTCCGTTGCTACGATTAGTGAAGCCCCTCTTTTTTTTAATAAATCCCCTGCAAAATAATACACAAAAAATGTTGACGCCATACTTTAAAAACGACGGGCATTGTATTCTGTAAATTATGAACGCCGTCCCTTTTAGATGCTGAATGCCAAAATACTTTATAAATTTATAATAAAATTATAAATAAAAAGAAAAGGTTACCCACCATACACTAAAACGAAAAGATATGAATCAGAGACCGGATAAATTAAAATTCAAATCGTACTTATCTCGTTTTCGAACCCTTTTGGAAACGTATCATCGAAGTGCGCACTTTCCTTCGTGTTCACAGCAGGAACACAACACATTTTCACTATAACTTTTTAACAATAAAATAGAAAACAAGCCACTTTTACGCCAAAATGACGCGCCGATGTTGCTACCACCAGACCGAAATCAAAACTGAACACAAATGTGGCCGCCACTCAGGGAGTTCACACAACAGTAACGTTATTTTGACCAGGAAATTTTCGGGATTAATTTAACAATATTTAGACAAATTGATTTGTTTTTAAAAAGCTCGTGTTTCTAGAAAAACGCTTTTCGGTTTATTAATTAATAATATTAATTTATGTCTAAATATTGTTTAATTTTGTCACGAGAAGTTATAAGTAGCATTTGCAAGAAATGATTTCACTAATGATGATCAAAATCGTAAATTTAAAAACCAATAAGTCACAAACATGAGAAATTGAGGATATTTTATTCATATATCACTATCAATAAATTTAAAAAATTCATATGAAATTGCAACTTTTACACCGTCACGACGAACGGAAAAAATTACCATCACAGACGAAATCGGGAAAATTGCTATTGGTAGAAAAGCCACCCGCTTTGACCGGCCAATTTCAAAACTTCAATCGTTCTCGAAAATTTCCTAAAAATTTAAAGATTATATATGGGGTATACGAACCACGGAACCTGACAAATTAAAACTCAAATCGTACCTACCCCGAGCCATTTTAGAAAAATACCCACTTTCCTTCGTGTTCACAACACTAACACCACATTTTCACAAATCTTTATTAATAATGAATTAAAAATTCGCGAAAACGCGCTGCTTTTACGGCAAAACGACGCGCCGATGTTGCCGCCACCAGACCGAAATTAGAACGAACGCAAATCGCCGAAAAACGTAACGTCCAATCGGGTAGCTCCCATAAAAGTAACGTCATTATAAATCACTTTTTGGGTGGGAAATTGCATATTTTCAAGTTTTTTAATTTAACAATGTCTAAACAAACTGGTTTGTTTTTAATAACTTCATATTTCTAGGAAAACATTTTCCGGTTCAAGTATGGTATAATTATACTAATCATATTTAAATATTATTAACTACGTCATCATAAGTTATAAGCAACATTTACAAGAGCTTTTAGTAACAATAGTTAAAAATCGTACATATAAAAAGCAACAATGTCAACAGCGGCACTGCTTGAATCATGCGAACTCGATTTTCCGACTTTTCTGAAAAATTGGCCTTCCGTAAAACGCGTATTTTCACTTAATTTCCCTCCAGTTACGGACCAACACGATTGTTTGATAACTATCACTAATAAATTTTAAAGAAAGAAAGAACGAAAAGTCACAAAGACGAGTGTATTTGATTCATATACTACCAATGTATAAAAAAAGTCCAAGGAAATTGCAATTTTTACACTGTCATGACGAACGAAAAAAATTTCCATCACAGACGAAATCGGGAAAATTACTATTGGCGGAAAAGCCACCCCCTTTTTGCGGCCAACTTCAAAATTTCAGTCGTTCTCGAAAATGTCGCAAAAATTTAAAGATTGTGGGGTACACGAACCACGGAGCCCAACAAATTAAAATTCAAATCGTACCTACCCCGAGCCATTTTAGAAAAATACCCACTTTCCTTCATCTGCACACCACTAACACCACATTCTCACAAATATTTATTAATAATAAATCAAAAATTGGCGAAAACGCGTTACATTTACGCAAACACGACGCGCCGATGTTGCCGCCACCAGACCGAAATTAAAACGAACGCAAATGGCGGAAAAATGTAACGTCCAATCAGCCCCGTAGCTAGAAAACTTATTCAGGGGGGGCAAATTTGTCGACAGAGGGGGCTTCATGTAAATATATATATATATTTTAATAATGCACTCAGATAACTACTTTATTTTTTCTCAGTTTTTACATTTGAAAGAGCATTAAAATAATTGTAAACGTGGATTTTTGCGCTATTAGATTTTCATAAAAACCTGTCGAAGTCCAAAGATTTGGTACGGTACTTTTAAAAAGCCAGAAAAAACAAGTTTGCCAATCTTTGATGTGTCGTTGAACGCGCGGGGCGATCTATTCTGGCTAAAATACAGAATGTAGATTCACAAACCTGTACTGCATCCAAAAATTCGTACAATGGCCAATAACACTAGGTAACAACCAATTTGTTTGAGTTTTTTTTTTCATGTTTAATAAGTAGTCTATGGACTAAAATGTGACATGGCAGTTCATTTTTTTAAACGGTCAACATCAACGTTGGGCGGGTGGGGCTAGTAAATATGCTTCGGCAATCGGCATTATATTGAAATTTTATTACTAATTTGAAATTTATAATGTGCAAGTCTTCGAAGGGGGGCAACAACAACTGCTAGGGGCTGCGTCCAATCGGGTAGCTCACATAACAGTAACGTCATTGCACATCAGGATGAGATTGACAAAATTATTTTTCATGTTATAAGGTGGGAAATTGCATATTTTCGAGGTTAATTTAACAATGTCTAAACAAACTGGTTTGTTTTTAATAACTTCGTGTTTCTAGGAAAACGTTTCACGGTTCAATTATGGTATATTAATACTAATCATAATTAAATATTATTTAACTACAACATCATAAGTATAAGCAACCATTTACAAGAGATTTTAGTAACAATAATTGACAATCGTAAATTTAAAAACCAACAATGTTAACAGCGGCACTGCTTGATTCACGAACTCGCTTTTTCGACTTTTCTGGAAAAATTAGCCTTCCGTAAATCGTGTATTTTCATTTAATTTTTCTCCAGTTACGGACCAATGCGATTCTGTATTCTAATAACTATCACTAATAAATAAAAAAAAAAGCGAAAAGTCACAAAGACGACTGTATTTTATTCATATGTACCAACGTATAAAAAAAATTCCTAGGAAATTGCAATTACACAGTCACGACGAACGGGAAAAATTTACCATCACAGGGAAAACTGGAAAATTACTATTGGCGGAAAAGCCACCCGTAAATTTAAAGATTGTCGAGTGGACGAACCGCGGAATCCGATAAATTAAATTCAAATCGTACCTACCCTCTTTTTGAGTCTTTTTAGAAAAATAACCACTCTCAAATTAAAAATTTGCGAAAACGCGCCACTTTTACGCCAAAACGACGCGCGGCCGATGTTGCCGCCACCAGACCGATCAAAACTGAACACAAATAGCCGATTAACGTAACCTCCTCTCGGGTAGCTCATGCAACAGTATATCACGCTGAGATTAACAAAATTATTTTTCATATTTTGGCCAGGAAACTGTACATTTTTGGGGTTAATTTAACAATTTTTAAACAAACTGATTTGTTTTTAAAAACTTCGTGTTTGTGTATAAATAATGGTTTTAATGTAAAAACAGAACACATCATTTATTTGTTTTGTTCACAGTTGAAGATTTTTAACTGTTCATGCTTCTAAAACAATTTAAGTGCACTAATGGAAATATTCATATAAAACACACATGGCAGGAAATTCACTTATTCGGGCTCAATCGATTTTAAATATGTAAGAATGTCTCCTGGATGTTTTTACTTAAGTTATTACATTAGCCACACTTCATAACTTCTCATTCGAGATTAAAAATAGTTCATTTATTGCATTTAAACTAATTTTAAACAGCGATCGATTAGAAAAAATTTCAAAAAATTCGGTCTAACTCAGACCTTAAGACCAAATGTTCAAAATTTCGAAGGAAAATGAAAAATTTAAGAAATCAATCACAAAGAGTATATTCTAAAAATAGTTTAAACAAACAAGGTTAAATATCACAAAATTCACGACGTAGCACATTTGAAAAATAAAGTTTGTCCAACAGTGTGTGGTGTCCCGATTTAAAAATTTCGCGCTAAAGAAAAAAATAACGCCGTTAGACAATCATCCATGTTTTAACGTTTACGGAATTAGAACAACCCTCCCTGTTAGCTTTATAGTGAATACCGCGAAAACCCATGTTAAAATTAAGAGTATGTATAATTTAGATAAGGTACTTATCCAAATATCGTTCCAAGTTGGAGAAACATACGGTTTGAATTTTCACTGAAATTGTGAAAGCATAAGATTTCGTGGCGAAGGCGCAATACACGGTTTTTAGTTAAATTTTAGTTGGTTGTTTTACAAAGAAAGGGTATGCAGTATAATATGCAGCAGGTTTTTTGGACATTAAGATGTGGTGTGTGTGTTAACACCAACTGTCAATAGAATTAAAATCACCGAATGAGGATGCCAGGTTACAACGAACTACTAAAATACAAATTTTATTATTAAAAAATCCAAAATATACAAATACGTTTTTAAAACGGTTTTTACATTTTCGACACAAAATCCAAAATATACAAATACGTTTTTAAAACGGTTTTTACATTTTCGACACTTCTTCATTCATACGCTTTTACAATCGTAAAATCTTTATTATTTTCCGCTCGTTTCAGTTCTAAATTATTCTCGTTGCACAAATGTAGCACAGCCACCACAGCAAGTGGACACGTTAACTCCTTTTTCATCTCGGCTGTTAACAACGGAGGTAAATTGCTGTACAACGTGGAGAACCGTGTGGGTGTTACTTTCTGTTGGACTTTCCCCTACAAATAAAATTATAATAAACAAAATTAACAAAATTTCCGTTTTAAATTTACGTTCATTTCTCCCGAAGTGAGACATTTCCAAACTGCGGCTTTTAACTTTTTCATGTCCATCTTTTTGGCCTGCATTGCGTATGGTATATGAGTAGAAGAAACCATTTCTGGTGCACTAACGAGATTTTCACCCAAAAACTGCTCTTGGGCTACAGTCTCAACATCTTCTTCGAAAGAATTTTGTAGCGGTTCTCCATCAGGGCCATCATCACTCTTAATAAGAAAAATGTACACACTCTGCAACAATAAATAATATACTTACATTATGTTGTGAGCAATACTGAGAATCGTTCGGATTTTCATAATTATACACTTGTACTTCGTAATCTCGTTGCGTAGGAAAATTGTTGTTTAGTCTCGGACGTGGTACTCCTGGTTTTATTAGCAACTGTTCTGCTCGCATATTGAAATTTTCGGCAGATAATTCTACTTCTGGTATGGGTAGCGTAATTCTAAAAAGCACAACTATAAATATACCTAACCCATTACCTGTTACTTTTACTTACTTTTCAAACGTGGTTGTAGGAGGTGCTCTTTTTACAACATACTTGCCTAAAGAAGCACACAAATCATCGTCTACCTGTGTGAGATCAAAAACTATTTTTTGTGGTTCTTTACTCTTTTTCGTGTGCTTCACCACTTGTTGCACACAGCTTCCGGAATATCTCGCCGACGACCGTCTGTTAAATTTGACTTTCCAGTGACTTGGACCCGCCCAAATTCTGTCAATAAACTTCCCTGAGGTTGTTTTTATAACAGTATTGTAGCCATATTCGGTTTCAACACGATTTTCTTCAGGAACTGCGTCCACGATATGTGCGATTTCACCGTGGATTTGAGCTTGAAATACTTCTTGTTGTTCTTCACTTTCGCTCTGTGGATCATCAGGGACGTCATTGTTATCTTCGAAAATGTCGTGTACCGAGCCGTCTAATTCGGCTATTGGTAAGCCGTTGTCATCAAGAACAGCATCGGGCACGCTTGGATGCTCTGCTAACCTGTTACAAAACACGAGTTTTCTAGATGTGTTTAAAATTATGATTATTACATTGCTTGAAAAAACTGAACTATATTTTTAGATGGCGTCATCGGTTTTTTGGAAAGATGAATAAATAAAAATTTCTTAGAATTCTGTAATTATTAAAATAGTGTAGCTTGTGTCTCACTAAAAGTTTACTTTTTTTAAATAACCTTTACAAACGAATTTCTAAATTAAAAAAGAGGTAGATGATTAAACTACACGTACAGAAGCAAGTGACTCATCAAATCAATCTAAGCGGTGTTTTTGAAGTACATGCAAAAATTCAAAGTAATCAGACAGATAGACAGAAACCGGTACCAAAATTCTACAAATTGTGAATAGACAAAAAATCATGAAATTAGGCAAAAATTAAATAAAAGTCTTAAAGCTACATCGTAAAATAATAAATAAAGTACTATCAAGGTAGGCAGGCTTGCAAAGTGTTACATTTTTATGTATGCACAAACAAGAGCAACAGCAACATACTTAACACAGTGATGGACGTGACATCTGATATGGTGTCAGTGAACTAATTTCTGTTAGAATCCCCTTAATCACTTGGTGTGCCTTCTACCAAGATTTTAAACTGTAATCAATAAATTTTCATCTTTGCGTGTGCTGATGCCGCAAACCATAATCTAACTTGCAAAATTATATGTAGCCAATGGATATATCTAAAACGAATCAAAGTATTTTTTAATTCAAAACGAATTTTTCAATTTTGTGGTCAACATTAAAACTATAGCAAAGTGTAGTAGTTTTGATTTAAATGTTGTAAATACTATTACGGAATCAAAGTTGAAGAAGCACATTCTTGAGTTATCGATTTTTCAAATAGAAAAAACAATACATGGAAGAACATGCAGGCTCAACTTATTTTACTTAATTTATCTAAAAGTTTTGAATATTTTATTAAAGTTATTATAACGCATTGCGTAACTTCCCACTCCAGATTAAAAACAGTTCATTTAGGGCATTGACAGCCTTGAAAATGTTCACGATTAAATTAGTATTATCGTGGACTCGAAAACGGGAGGGAATTAATTAAATGTTGCTTTCTGGTCATTCTAGTACTTATCCAGATACCTTTGAAACTTCGAGAAATATTCGATTTGAAAAGAAAAACACAAGATATAGTGGCGAAGGCGGAACACACAGTTTCTTCTTAAAGCTGACGGTTATTCTCTCAAGTCATTTGCCCAAATAGATATTAAATCGTTAATTATTCATGAGAAGACACGCGCCCGCATGAAACGCAGCATAATTTGCTTTAACAGCTGGCATTATTTTGAAAAGACGGGGTAGAGTGTATAATATGCGGCAGGTTTTTTAAGCATAGCGATGTGGTGTGCGTTATATCTGTCAATAGAAGAAAATCATCGAAGTCGGGTGACGGCCATAATTTAGATTTGCCGCCAATCTAGTAGCTCAAATATTATCAACCAGTTGATTCAATTAATATTTCTGTTTTCTTTGCGTTTTCAGTTTGGTATGTTCAAATTTGTTGTATTAATTTGTAACATTTGATTTCACTTTGGAAAGCTGGACAAGGTTTTTATAGCTGGAAAATAAATTTCTTTTAGCTTATTTCAACAGCCTTTTCCTCTCCGGAAAGGAAGAATAAACAATTTGTACTCATTTTGCTTTTCGATTTCGATGTAAAGAAGGTAGGCATTGATATTTTTTCTTCATGTTAAAACACACTGTATAGTGTTTTGTCCGTCAGCAGTGTAACATAATTATCATCCGTTTACTTTGTGCTAGCTTTCCACTTCATTATCAGACACATTTGTTAATCACGTAAACAAAATGAAAAGCTTAATTTTCTCAATGTGAAATAATTTCAACAGAAAATGCCCACAATTGTGCTACTAAAACAAAAAGATTCAATTTCGTAAGGATATGCCGGACCTTAACGCTTAACGACGTTTTAATGAAAATTGGTCTGGACCACTGGAAGAGGGTGGAGTGTTATGCATGCTGCATCCGAAATTCTGCGTGAATCACAAATGCAACATTTTTTTTTGAGTTTTTGTATCCAATCTAGTGAATCATCATAACGAATAGTTAATTGTGTGAAAAGATAATGAGACGTAAATTTGAGGCAAAAACAATCCGATCATAAATGGAATTTCAATCGCCAAATTTTTAAATTCTCACTCACACCCTGTATTTTTATTACCGTATCTTACTCTGTTTTTCTTCGTGTTCCTCTGCTGTGTCTTTTAGAAAAATAACTTATAATCAACTTTAAATTTCGAAAATTGAAAAATTCAAATACATATACTTAGAAGACCTGAAAACTCAAGAAATCGAAAAACCTAAAATTTTAAAAATTGAAAACTTAAAATATCGAAAAGTTGAAAGATTGTGAAAACCGAGAGTTCAAAAACCGAAAAATTGAAAATCCAAAAAGTAAAAAGTCGAGAAATTGAAAAATCCAAAAGACGAAATATTAAAAAATCCCAAAATTGAAAAATTGAAGAATCGAAAAACTGAGAAAACTCACAAAATTTAACGAAATATCCAAAAATTGGGAAATTAAAAAATTGAAAAATTGGAAAATCGAAAAACCGAAAAATTGCAAACCTAAAGAATCGAAAAATTGAAAAATCTGGAGCCTGATGAAAAATGAAGGAACTGAAAAACTGAAAAATCGAAACCTTGGCAAGTCGAAAATGGGCAAATCAAAAAATAGATTAATTGAGAAATCGGAAAACTGAAAATTCAGAAACCTCAAAACTTGAAAATTTAAAAAATTGGAAAATTGAAAAATCTAAAAATCGAAGAATTGAAGAACTGAAACATCGAAACTGCGAATTCGAGAAACGGGAAAATCAAAAATATATATTAATTGAAAAATCGGAAAACTGAAAATTTAGGAACGTCAAAATTTGAAAAATTGGAAAATAGAAATATTGAAGAACTGGAAAATCAAAAAATCCAGAAATCAAAAAAACTAAAATTTAAAACACTGAACAATTGAAATATCGCAAAATTGAAAAATAGAGAAATCCAATCATCAAAGAATCAAAAAAGAAAAATTCGAAAATCTAAAACTTAAAAATCGAAAAACTGAAAAATCGACAAGTCGAAACTTCAGAATTTAAAAAAATTGAAAAATCGGATAACTGGAAAATCGAAACATCGAAAAATTGGAAAATCGAAAAACCGAGAAATCCAAAAATGGAAACATCGAGAAATAGAAAAAAATTGAGAAATTGAGAAAGTAAACAATCAAAACATCCAAACATCTGAATTTGATAAATCGAGAAATAAAAAAAAAAATGAAAAATTTTAAAAAAGAAAAATTAAAACATCGAAAAGTTGAAAAAAAATGAGAAATCGAAGTATAAAACTGTCGAAAATTTGAAAAATCTAAAGTTTAACGAAAAATTGAAAATCCAAAAAGGGGTGGAAACCGAAAAACTGCAAACTGAAAAATTTAAAAATTGGAAAATCGAAAGAAACAACAAAAATTAAGGAAATGAAAAATAAAAAATCAGGAAAATGCAAAATAAAAATCGAGGAATTGAAAAATTTAGGGGACGAAAAATTGAAAAAGGGAAAAGTTAAAAATCCAAAATGTGAAAAATGGAAAAATGAGAAATTGTAATATTGAAATATTGGAAAATTTGGAAGTCGACAAACTGTAAAATTGAAAAATCAAAAAGAAAAAAAGAAAAAGTCTAAGTATAATAAAAAAAAATGTAAACAGTGAAAATCAAACTTGAAAATTTGAAGAAAAATTGGAAAAAGACCTGAAAATTTGAAAAATTTGAACAAACGAAAAATTGTACAATCGAAAAAAACGACAAAAAATAAAGGAAATGAAAAAACGAAATATTGTAATATAAAATGGAAAAAGTGAAAATTAAAAAATCGGGAAAATGAAAAATAAAAATCGGAAACAAAAAATTGGAAAAGGGAAAAATTAAAAATTGAGAAACTGAAAAATCGAAAAATGAAAATGAAAAACTGTAATATTGAAAAATTGCCAAATTGAAAAACTGATGCAAACCGAAAAATTGAAAGAAACGAAAATTTGAAAATTTTGGAAGTCGAGAAACTGTAAAATTGAAAAATCAAAAATAAAAAACGAAAAATTACAAAATGAAAGCTTGAAAAATCTTAAGAATCCAAAAAGTGAAAAATGAAAAAAAAGATGTATTATGAAATAGAAATATTGAAAATTAAAAAATTGGAAAATCGGAAGACTGGAAATCCAAAAACTGCAAAGCGAAAAATTTAAAAATTGAAAAATGGACGAACTGAAAATTCAAAGCCTGAAAATTTGAAAAATTGAACAAATGAAAAATTATAAAATCGAAAAAAAAACAGAAAATAAAGGAAATGAGAAAACGGACAATTGTGATATAAATCGAGGAAATGAAAATTAAAAATTCACCACATTGAAAAATAAAAATCGGGAACATGAAAAATTGTGGAAACGAAAAATTGAGAAACTGAAAATTCGAAAAATTACCGAAACGAAAAATTGAAAAATCCAAAGAAACAACAAGAAATAAAGAAATTGAAGAAATGAAAATCTGTGACATAAAACCGAGAAAATGAAAAATTAAAAAATCGGGAAAATTGACAAATAAAAATCGAGAACTTGAAAAATTGAGGAAACAAAAAATTGAAAATGACAAAAATTAAAAACTGAGAATGTGAAAAATCGAAAAATGAGAAACTGTAATATCGAAAAATTGTAAAATTAAAAAATTGCAACTCGAAAAATTGAAAAATTTAGAAGTCAAGAAACTGTAAAGTTGAAAAAGTAAAAATAAAAAAAACGAAAAAGTATATAATGAAAACTTGAAAATCAAACATGAAAATTTGAAGAAACGGAAATTTGAAAAATCGAAAGATTAAAAATTGAAAAACTTAAAATTCGAAAAAGTGAAAAATAAATAAAAGAAATATGTATTGTAAAATCAAAATATTGAAAATTAAAGAAATTGAAAAATTGGAAGACGGGAAATCCAAAAACTGCAAATTGAAAAATTTTAAACCTGGAAAATCATGGAATTGAAAAATCAAAGCCTGAAAATTTGAAAAATTGAATAAATAAAAAATTGTAAATCGAAAGAAACAACAAAAAAGTGAAGGAAATAAAGAAACCAAAAATTGTGTTATAAAATCGAGAAACGTCGAGAAAACATAAAATTAGTCATTCGCCAGATGGATCTCTCTACTGCGTTATCACTTATCAGCAAAAAAATCCCTAAATCGAATCTTACAATTATCAGACAAAACTGAATATGTTATACCGGACTTTAAGAGCGAGGAAAGTGCTGTCTAAATAACTTTAGACCAATTTTTATAATTCAACAATTTACATAGAGTATCATAAATAAAACACCGATAGCTTTCGAATAATTTTGAATGTGTTGTGCTAATTTTTTTTAATTCCACCAATATTTTCTATTTTGACAAAATCACGAAGAGTCGAAACTTGGAGAGTTATACAAAACGAGTTAAATTTGAAGCCTCTTTTGTCAGGGTAGGTATTTTACCCTGCATAATCTCCGCCTTCCCAATGTCACGGTCAACTTCCGACCAAAGGTTCGACCCACTGTGCGACAGAGATCGCAGTAGCTACAGCTGAAAACTTGAAGCAATTTTTTCATCTGCAGCGTTTATAAGTCAGTTAAGACTGACGTTATATACGAATTGTGTAACACTTATTAAAAAACGTATTGATGCAATCTGTTAGGAAAGGTTCGTTGTAGACACCTCTTTTTTTTATTTTTTTTTTGCACTACAAAGTGTACGTTGTAACAGCAATGTAAATGTCGTCATTTTTGCATGTTTTTACTTTTTTTTTTTTTACACAGAAAACAGAACTGAAAATCAAATTTCAATAGAAGAGGGACAAAATATGTGTAATAAGGATTGTTAAGAAAAAAAAAAACTATCGTCCTAAGTCAATTTCTCTCGTTTTTACAGGACATTTCAAATGGGATGAAAACTGTCCCAAACCAGGCCGAGTGATACCGCCTTAAAGTCGATTTATAAACTTATGGATGACGTTGCTGTTCGCCGTTGACATCAATACGCAGCGAAGGTATGCGTCGTTTATATCATCAGTTGACGTTGCCGTTGAAAGTTGGGACGCCGTTGGGGTGACGTTTGAGATGACCAACTTTTAACTTTCGCCCTTACGTTGCCGTTGACGTTAGGTTTTCAACCAATCAAATTGCGGTAGTGCGTAGTGCTGCCAATTTGAAGGAAAATCCCCTGAAGTAGGGAGAGCATTTTTCTGGTTGATAGCACTAATTCCACAAAAATCAAATTTTGATAGAGATAATGAGGTTCACTAATATTAAGCCATTTAATCATCTGTTCACCGAAACCCTCATATTTTAAATAGCTGCCATAATTTTCTATACTGTAGCTTTCTGTCAGTACTTATGCATTGTTAAAGATAGTTCTCGACGTTTAAATGAACAAGATTTATTGCTATTCGTCTCAAAAACAGATTAGGTATTATAACTACAAGGGTAAAATTTTGTAGGAAAGTATCAATCTTGCAATTAGGCTCCGCCCCTCGGTCTAACAACGAATGAAAAATTCATTACAACTGAGCTTGGGATGGATATGGGTGGGGCTTAATTTTTGGCTTGTTTTTTCTTAATATACTTAGTATTTTTTTAACAACACCATACTCAAAAACATGTTTTTATTTCCTTGTAAAGAAATAAGTATTTTGCAGTTAAGCTCTCCCCCCTTGGTTCACGACGAATAAAAAAAACATCACAATTGAGATAGGGCGGGTGGGCGGGGCTTACATTTTGCCATTTAAGAAAATGTGTAGTCATCTCTTCACAACAAGAAACTTAACATAGGAAAATACCGATTTTGCAATTACGCTCTGCCCTTCGGTCTGACAACGAATGAAAAATTCATCACGATTGAGATCGAGACGGATGGGCGGGGCTTCTCTTTTGGTTTTCTTTTTCAATTAATGCATTTAATTTTCTCTGTATAACATAATTACTTAAGAACATATTCACATGGTAATTTATCATAGAAAAATAAGGATTTTACAATTAAGCTCCGCCCCTCGGCTTACGACGAATCAAAAAAATCATCAGAGTTGAGATAGGGCGGGTGGGCGTGGCTTATATTTTGCTTTTTTTTCTTAATATACATAGCCATCTTTTCACAACAAGAAACTTAGAACATGGTTAAAATGGTACACTTTTGCAAGGAGATATGGATTTCGCAATTATTGGGAGGAGACTAATTGCAAAATCGATATTTCCTTATACAAATTTTCCATTTTAAACATGTTTTAAGTTTCATGTTGTGAAAAGAAGTCTACACATATTAAAACAAAATGCAAAATGTAAGCCCGCCCACCCACCCTATCTCAATTGTAATGATTTTTTTTATTCACCGTTAGCCAAGGGGGCTTAACTGCAAAATATTTATTTCTTTACAAGAAATTAAAAACCTGTTTTTGAGTATCGTGTTGTTCAAAGAATACTATGTATATTGACAAAGAAAGGCCAAATATAAAACCCCGCCCACCCACTCCATCTCAATTGTGATTTTTTTTTTAGAAACTTAAAACACGTTTAAAATGGTAAATTTTTGTAAGGAAATATGGATTTTGCGGTTAGGCTACGCCCCTAAGTCTGCCAACGAATGAAAACTTCATTACTATTTAGATCAGGAAAGGTATGGGTGGGGCTTAATCTTTGGTATTAATTTTTTCTTAATATATCTAGTATTCTTTGAATTACACGATATTCAAAAGATGTCTTACATGGTAATTTCTTGATAAGAAATAATAAAGATTTTGCAATTAAATTGGCTCTCGACGATTAAAAAAAAATCATCATAATTGAGATAGGGTGGGTGGGCGGGGATACATTTTGCCTTTTTTGCTTAATATGTGTAGACTTATTTCGACAAGAAACTTAAAACATGTCTAAAATAGTAAATTTTTGTACTATCAACGATGCATGGCAACGGAGTTTATAAATGACAATTTTTAGCTCTAAAAGCAGCGACTGCAACGGAATCTTCAACAGCAACGGCAAGTTTATAAATCCCACTTTATGGATCTAACACATTTCCTAACCTTAACTACATACTCTAACAAAAAATAAATTAATATTCTGTACAGACTTCCAACAACCATATTAGATTTTCGTGGCTAACCCTACATTGAATAAATAATAATAATACTAAATGATCGAAAAAAAAGTCCTCCAGTAGATCATAAAATTTATTTTTAAAATAATCATGTTGGCATTGCATCTAATTGACACTTTATTTGACAGTTATTTGACCGTAACTGTCAAACTAAAGAAGGAGGGCGTTAGTGTTGCCAACATTTTTTTTTCAATCATATGGAATAGTTAAACCAAAAAGTGAGCATTATGTTTTAACATTAAACGAGCTACACCATCCAAAAATTAAAATACTGTATTTAACACCCTTAAAAACATGCTCCATTCTGTATAAAAACAAAAGCGACACAACAGATAAAATTACTAAATTTAAACTACAAATCCCCCAATCCCAATCCAAGGCAATAAAAATTTTCTGTTTTAGTAAATTCTTTACCGAGAGTTTAAAATCAAATCTTGACATGTACCCAACTAGAGTTTGTTCCAATTACTCTCTCATGTTTAATGTGAGTAAAACGCATAAATAGTAATATACTTACAGTCTTTCTTCTTCCTCTGGATCCCAGTTGGCTGTTTCAAACTCTCTGAATGCTAAACACATATTGAAATGTGTTATTTGTGGATAATCAATCTCTAATACTTTGTCAGAATTTTGTAACACTTCATCAGTTTTTTTAGACCAGTATTTATCTTCACTCCTAAAAAGTATACACATTAAAAATGAATTATTTGAACCATTAAACTCCCTACAATAGCATAAAACGATGATTTGCAGGATTTACCGGAAGCCTCTGGGTAAACAAATTATCAATAGCACTAATCTCTATACTTTCTTTGGTGGCAAATATAACTGATTCTACATGTTTAATTGTAGCATATAAATTCTTCTCATTCTTATCAACAGTATTTCGTTTATCAGCAGCTAATTTTTTAGTTTTCTTCTTAACATTTCTTCGTCTCTGTGTCTGATTTAAAACATTATCTTCGTTTGCTTCTTCACCATCTTCTTGCGAAGCATGTCCCTCAGTAGTTTTACCCATAGAATTCGCCAATTGCAAACCCTTGAAATAAACATCGTCTACACGCAATCCATAAACTTTGGCCCCAATATCGAGAGAGGAACCAGCCACTTGCAACACATTTCCATTATCTTGTAACGCGATTCTTCTCATAACATCGATAACGTGAAGTTGCCATGCATTTTTTGCTGAGATTTTCTACAAGATTTCAAAATAGTAACAAGGTGTATACAGTGCATAAAATATACATTTTCTGTGTACAGTTTCGCACAAATCCTTAAATGATCCTTAATCTGACTTTCTTCAATATATGGAGTGGCATCAACAAGAGGCGATCCACTGGATGATGTAATATTCGTGAGTCTTCTCCGTAGCTCCACAACGCTTCGTCTTGTTGAACGTTCTTTTTCATCGTCAGCTGGTTCCTAGTTAAATTATAATTACCTTTGCTTTATATTTCAAGAACTGTAATTACCAAAAGGGCAGCATTTTTGGCTGGGGGCAAGATGCTCCTTCGAAGTGGAGAAGCCACAACAGACACATTTAGTATAGATCTTCGACTAAAAGTAGGTCGTTGGGGGGTAGAAGTTTCCATCATTTTTACAAAGAAGTTCTAAAATCTACAGAATATTTGTACTTTATTCAGATCAGGAACCCAACCTTGACACCACCGAATTTCAAACACAAACACTTCACTTTTTGAATAAGTTTACTTGACAACTTTGTTCGTGTACAATTTTTAACAACTTGTCGTTTTTTATTAAAGAATTTCAATAATGTTTAAACCTAAAACAAAGCTTTGATTTTTGTAATCCGTTAACTTTGTTTGGTTTTTAAACTGTCTGTTGTTAACACCACCAGAGGTCACTTTAATGACACAATTTAAATTTTAGCGCCAGAATATTTTACCTCTGTTTACTAAAATAATAATAAAGATAAAAACAGTAGCAGGGTGAAGTGACAAAAATGCGAGAAAAACCACAACTGTTAGAAATATTAAAACATATTAAATAACACACTTTAACAAGTTTGATACACTGACTTTTGCTTGTATTTTGTGTTGCCTATGTTGTGGACATGCAATGTTGCCATATTTAAATAAAATGGTGGATGTTTTTATTTCACTACACATGTTATTAGTGTCAATCTAATCACATTATATTAAATGTTCATCAGGTTGTCAGCGTTAACTTTTTGTAAATATAAATAATTTTTTTCTCTAAAATTGCAGCGAAAATTATACACACGATGTCGGACAATCGAAAAGTTTTAGTAGCTAAGCGTAAAAACCAAAGAAACCATTATCCGAATCCTGTACAAAATTCCAAATGTGGAGAAGAATTCCAAAGTTCTCGACGTGGTACAAAACGACCGGGCTTGTGTAATGACGCATCTAAAAGAAATTTAGCGAATGACAGGCTGAAGAGACTGCGTACGTCCTTGAATGAAGAAGTGCAAAAATCTTCCCATGAACGATATAAACCTAGTTCTTGTGCCTCTGCTTCAAGTACTGCATTATATAAAGCTAATGTAATGCGAAAGCGACCAATCAATGAGCCGTCTGCGCAAGCTGTGTCTATAAAATTGCCTAAACAACAAGAAACTGGACAATCTCGAGTAAATGCATCATATTCAAATGCGTTTGTTTTCAAGGAGGAGTATTTAACCCAGAAGAAAGTTTTTAATGCAGCTGTATTCGATCGTAAAGAAACCTTTGCAACTGCAGTTACCACTCAATGTAATGAAGATATGGAGTGGTCTACGGTCAGCCTGTATTATGTAGTGGACAAAAAAAATTAACGTTTTGTTTCAGACTGATGACTTGACTAGTACAACAAATGACGTAAATAGTACTTCTCAAAGTAGAAAAATTAAAAACAAATTTTTCATTGTCGTCGACACCAACATATTTTTATCACATTTACAACTCATTAAAAACATTGTAACTATGAGTGTTAAAGGTACGAACAATGAAATTCATTTCTGCAAACTATTTTCACTTCTGCCTGCCAGGTGAGGTGAGACCTGTCATATTTATTCCATGGATAGTTATTGAAGAGTTGGATTTTATAAAAGAAGACACCAGAAAAACCAACCTCAAGTTAAAAGCTCAGGAAGCTATTAAATACGTAGAAAAAACCATGGCCAGCAAAGATGATAGAATGCAGGGTAAAGTGATAAAAACAAACCATTAACAAAGTAAAAAAAATTTTTAGGTCAAACGCTGAGTGAAGTAAATGAACAAAAAAGCGTTGGAAAAAGTCAAGATAACAAAATCATTGCATGTTGCTTGCAGGTGTCAGAAAAATACGAAAATATGGTAAACACATGAAAATGACCTAAAATATGTCAGTTTTGTCAAAAAGGGTTTTACAGATTTTGCTTACTGCTGATGTGAATTTAAAGAACAAAGCTCACTTTAATAGTATTCCAGTATGTTCCCATACGGACATAATGACGAAAATATCAGCATTCAATCTTACCAAAATGCAAGCCATGATGCAAACAATGACTAGTCTGTGCAATATGGTTATTTTTAAGTGTGCTGAAAATGCATATGGTTCAGCTTGCACTAAGATGTCAATCTGTCACCCCTCACCAAAGTCACTACAAGAGTGTATATCAAGATTCACAAAGTACTGGTTTCCAGTATTTCAAGAGGTTTTGATGAAACAGTTTAAAAAGTCAGTGGATGATTTATCAGTTTTTTTAGTCAAACATCCAAGTAAGTTTCTGACTACAATAGAATGTTATTCTGATAATTTTTTTTAGGTATTAGTGATAATTCAAGTGAAGTTAATGAACTTGTAAGGCTTTGTGTTAGAGTTTGTCTATTTCTGAAAGATGTGGAAAGTTGCAAGGACTCTGTTGAAAACACAATTCGTGACTTAAATACTATTAAAGAATCATAACATAGGCGTTATTTGGATTGTACATATAAATTTAAATTTTTTCATAAATTGTACATCACACCGCATATTCTGATTGTGTGATAAATAAAATAGTTGTATTTTTATCACGGGCATTTTTTTTTAGTCACCTGAACTGATTTTTTGAATTTTTTTATTGTTATGTTTACACACCTGTTTGTCAAATGTCATTATTTGACGTTTGTAAGCCAAATGACTCACGTTTCAGGAGTGTTATTGATTGATTAAAAACCAAATTACAATAACAATTATCAGTACTAATAAATTTACCAAAAATTAAAGTGTATGGTCTAGGTAAAGTACACAAAACCTAATTTTATCTCTCTTTACCTTGAATTGCAAACAAACAAATCATAACAATAAAAAGTTTGTTTGCCTTTGTAGGACACGGTAATAAGGAAAATATGGATAGTTTTTCGTATCAAAACGGAGGACAGAGCAGAGAGCAAGATTTCCAAAAGCTGTCTCAAACTATTGGAACGAGTATACAAAAAATATCACAAAATGGTAACACGAAAACTCATTGTAATTCACTTAACTCCCACTCGCTGTTACAGTTTCTTCAATGCAGCGTATGGTTAATCAAATTGGTACTCATCAAGATTCACCTGAGTTAAGGAAACAACTGTATGTATTAAATGTTAATTTTTTCTTAACTTAACAAGATAATTTTCAGTCATTCAATTCAGCATTACACTCAGCAACTTGTCAAAGATACCAATGGATACATTAAAGATCTCAATGCTATTGCACCGTCCCTATCCCAATCAGAACAAAGACAAAGGAAAATGCAGAGAGAACGACTGCAGGATGAATTTACAGCAACGTTAAATATGTTCCAAGCTGCCCAAAGAAGTACGGCTCAAAAGGAGAAGGAGCAAGTCAATAAAGCCAAAGCCCAAGCATATGGTGAACCATTCTTAAGTAACAACTTCAATTTTATGCAAAAATAAAAGTTAATTGTTGGTTTTGTAGGTGGATATAAAAAAGATGAGCAATTAATTGAATTACAAGACAGCAGTGCTGCAAGGCAGCAAGTACAAATGCAAGAAGAATCTGAATTAAGAGCTTTACAAGAACAGGAACAATCCATTAGGCAACTGGAGGTACTTTCTTGCATTTAAACTTGTACATTTTTTAAAAAATTGTTATAGAGTGACATCAATGATGTTAATCAAATTTTCAAAGAGCTTGGTGCTCTTGTACATGAGCAAGGAGAGGTAATTGATAGTATTGAAGCCAATGTGGAGAGAACTAGTGACTATGTACGAGATGGCGCACAACAATTAAGGGAAGCCAGTTCTTACAAGAACAAAATTAGGAGAAAGAAGTTGATTATTGGTATTGTTGCAGCTGTGATTTTAATAATTATAATCATAATTATTATATGGAAGACTTCTTAATGATGATACATAAAAATGCATGGCAAAGTATATTATTGATTATTGTATATACTGTATTAAATTAAGTTATACAAAACATATTTTTCCTGAAAGGATATTGCCGCAGTTTAAATTTAGTACCAGGTCATTTTGTTTAAACTGCTTTGATAAAAATGTGGTAATTATTCTCAAAATATTAAAATTCATGTTTGCGTTATTAGTGTTATCTTGATTTTAATTCCACTATTGTTTAATATGTATTATATTTTATTACGTCAGATATAAATAGAAACTTATGTTTAGTATTAGTTCGTACTGTATGTTGTTATTTATCTACTGATATTAATTCAGACTATAACTGCTTTATCCACACTTTTTTTATTATTTAAGAATATATAAGTGCATATGCTTGAGAGATTGCGATTAATCGAAATCACTTGGTTAGTAATATGTCCTACAGAACTTAATATATATAATGAAATAAATTGTTATTCACTGAGTTTTTATATCGTTTTTATTTATTAAGGGCTATATAGGAATTTTTAACTTTCATGTCCATTAATGTCTGGTGTCTATTTTAAAATAAGGTAGAGATTGCAGCCACCAATAGAAAACAGGTATGTATGTATCTCACGCGACCGTAATATCCAACCCTTATTGGCTGTTGCGCAGCTGTGGATTTCATTTGAGACAAAGACCCTCCCAGCCCTCAAACGTCAAGTGAAAATATAGGTTAGGAGCAGTCGCATATGTCAGTTTGTCAAAATAAAAATCTCCAGATTTCCATCGATCTCTTCCAGAGGTAAATTCTTAAAAAGAAGAAAGTTATAATTAGGCAAAGTCAGTGTAATGTCTTCTCGTGTCTTGCGTAAATTACAAGGAGATAAAGACATAGTGGATGATATCTCAGATACAGAGACAGACATACCTGTCAGTGGAGGTGCTCGAAGGAAACAACTTAATATAAACCGCTATGACTTGGTATGCTTGTAAAAAAATTTCACAAAATTTACTAAATAAGCGCAATTTTAGTTAAACCAGCAGTCGCATTCTGAGAGCGAGGTGAAAGAAGATGACAACGAAACTGAGGCTGCTAAATCGTGTGAAGGGGACCCGAATCATGAAGCTGTCAAACGTAAAAAGAAGAAGAAGAAGAAAAAGTCAGGGAAGCACGTAAACACGCAGAGAAGTAGTGAAGACAACGCTGACGTAAGTGAGCCGTTTGGGTTTGCGTTATAAATAAATTATAAATGTGTAGATTGATGAGGTCGAGAGGTCTGTACGTGAAGTGAACAGACTTCTAGGTGAAAATCATGTGCCCAGAGTTACGCCAACACCACCAGTGAGCACCAAGCATGACAAAAGTGTACACAACAAGAATATTCTATCAGTGCAACATAAACACCTAAATCCAAATAATGAATTGAAGAGGATATTTGGTTCGAAAATTATTCAAGCAGAACAGTAGGTAATAGTTTGACAGCAACTTGACATACATGACTTATTTATAGCAAAAGAAAAAATCGAGGTAGGGGACATGTTAAGACCACTTGGCTAGTAAGTAGTAAGGACACATGGCCCCAGGTAGGCAAGTCAGGTCTTTCTATGAATCTTCTTGAGAATAAACAAGGAATTCAGTATTTCACTTATGAACATAGTCAGAGTTACCGGCAAATACAGAATAGATTTCTTGAAAGTGTGGAAAGTCTTAATCCTGATAACATTGTCGCCATAATTAATGATCACCCTTATCACATTGACGCTTTAATACAATTGTCAGATCTTTGTAAGTTGAGTGAAGATCTAGCTATGGCAGCTGAATTCATTGAGCGAGCACTATACTGTTTGGAATGTGCTTTTCATCCACTTTTTAACGTTGCACAAGGGAACTGTAGACTGGATTATAGAAGACAAGAGAATAGGTCAGTGTGGTGTTGATACTAAATAAATATTTATGGCATACTAAAACTTCCACTTGGAGCCCAATTAAAAACAAAATGAAAACATTATTTTATTTAATTCTAATTAATTTAATGAAATCTGCGCATGACCCATGACGTCATAGCTACGTTTTCCGTGCTTAGCTTTTACAAGATTTTTAATTAAACAAAATTTGAGCTACTTAAAATTTTATTTCCTACTGCCTATTTACTACCGAAAATTTGATTTTGAACATGTAATTTATTTTAGGGCTTTACACATAACTTTATTCAAGCACCTCATGTTCGTCGGTGGACGCGCATGTTGCCGAACCTCTTTAGAATTTTGCAAACTTCTCCTGTCTCTGGATCCAGACAATGATCCTCTGGCAATCAAATTAGCCATCGATTTCTATGCCTTACGAGCCAGAGAATACACCTGGCTAATAGATTTTGCAGAAGAGTGGGAAGCTTCTAAAAACTTATCACAATTACCAAATTTCGCTTTCTCCACTGCTGTTGCTCATTTTTACACTTCGAATGGTGATACAACAAAAGCTGATAGTATTCTTCAAAACGCTTTATTGATGTTTCCTGGTGTGCTAATGCCTTTATTAGAGAAGTGCTCAGTGCAGATAGATAACAGGGTAACGGCACACAAATTCTTCTCCACAGCTAATGAACACAAGTAATGCTTTGAGAATAGCCAAACTTTTGTACTAAATTTATTTACTTGTAGACAACCTACAGCTTTAACACAATTAATTCAATTATATGTAAGTAGATGTTATCATGTGTGGAAAGACAGTGATCTGCTGCATTGGCTGGAAAAGAACGTTCATGTAGTGTTGGATCGGGTTGATAAAAGCGATCCGTTTGTCAAAGACTATGAAACAAAAAGAGCGAAACGTTACCAAGGGCCTCTTCCTAGAAGTATAGCTAGACATATTTTGCTATCTGATATTAAGGATTTAACACCAATCACTGACGTAACTGAAACGAGTTGATCTCAACTCATTAATTTACTCATAATTATTTCAGGATTTCAGCGGGCCTGTGCTAGGTTTTGATCCGCTGCCACCGAAAGACTCCATTAACATTTACACCAAGCCGAAACGACCAACAATTTCTAATAACAGTTCCATTCCTCTAGGCATTTTCTTTAGGTCGATTTTGCCGAATTTTAATCCTAATCAAATTCCACAAAATTTACTAGAACCGTAAGCGACTGTTTCAGAGTGAGATTAATTACTAAAAAAATTTACCTTTTTGTAGTGCTAGGGAAGAAGATGGAGCCGTTGCTTTACCAGTGTATGAAAATAACGCCAATAACGAAGGTGGTGATTTACGACGAAGTGTTGCATCCTTAGTTGGAGCAATGCGAGATTTATTAAATAATATTAGACCTCCAGAGATGGAAGTACCAAACGACGCTGACGTGGATGAAGATTATGATGACCTCACTTAAGTAGTTTTAGATCTTATCCTAGCAATCAACACACTAAACTTAATTTTATTTCTTTATTGTTGGTATATTCTAAAAATGTTTATTATAATAATATAATGTAACCAAATAAAGTAAATAATGTCATAATTGCTTTTAAATGCACAACTTCGAATGTTTTCGTTGTTATTTTTGCACCCATGACTTTTTTGATGACCAGGATGCAGGAGGTCGAACTTCCAACACAGGTGCTTTTTTCTTTCCGTTGCCATGGTAACTTTAAAATAGCCTGGAAAATATCAAATTGCGAAGTGTTTACGTCGTTGTTTATAAATAACTCGCAGTTAATAATCTTTTCGGTTTAAAAGTTTATAAGTTGCAAAAAATATTGTACACAACACGTTCGTGAAGCCTGCTTCCCGCATTCCCGCAACCGTTCACGCGGGAAGCAGGCTATCCCGAACTAGTTGTGTAAATTAGTTTTGAAACATACGCGTAGCGTGCTTCTTCACATTTACTTTAGCATTACATAGTTACATATGTTTATTTCAACTTAAAAAATATAAAATCCGCAAAATCAAATTTTATAATTTTTCGAAAATGCTTGATGTTTCATTGTACTTCAGGAACGAGGGAAGTTCTGTCTAAACAACTTTCGACCAATTTTTTAGATTTACTCTATTTTCCGACGTAATGTACGTAAAGATGGCAACAAATAATTTAATCTTAATAAAGATTCATAGCTTGAAGAAACGCAAGAAAATTTAACACACAATAGTGCTTTTTTTACAGTCTCGAGGCGCCATCTCGTCAGTTTTTTTTTATTCAAGTGCATTCGTAATCACTTTTTCGTTTATTCCAAATTTACCTGCAATCACAGGTTGTTATTAATTTTTAAGTTCTCTTAATTTAAACTGTTATTATTTTTTTTAAATAAATTTCGTCTTTCTGTTGCAATAAATTTTGGTAGTACCATTTTTTTTTATAAAATTAATCACCGACATGGAGGCGGGTGGGTGGGCGGAGTTTGTATTATATGTTCTGTAGAGTGCAAGTGGTAACTATAACGGAAATAAGGCTGCAAAAAAGCGCTAATCGCGACTTTTTTGTTGTACTATTTGTTATAAGATTTATTTCTTATTTCATAAAAAGAATGAGAGGACGGGAGGGTGGGTGGGGTTAAGATTAATTTTTTCCTAGAAAGTCTTATAGGCAAGCAATAGGCCCGCCCACCCACCCACCCCCTCTTCATTCTGGTCAATATTTTTAATACTGCTAATTATTGACAATACCATTGTCTTATTAGAATTTTCGGCAAATTTGTTAAACCGTTGGTGAGAAAACAGATAAATTGTTATTTTCTTCTATAAATTATTCGATCTACACCTTATATTTCAAGGGATTTTTTTTCGTTTATAGTGATAGTGATGGTGATGTTTTATTCGCCATATTACATATATACAACATACGTTAATGGCATGTTAGATAAAAATACAAAAAATAGAATGTGTAATAAGGAAAAATATAAAATACAAGTGTAAATAGTCTAAACCCACCATAATTTTGGACAGTTTGTCATTAATTTTTAAATTCTCTAAATTTAAACTGTTAATTTTTTCTTTTAAAAATTAATTTCGTCTTCTTTCTGCTGCAATAAATTTTGGTAGTAAAAAGTTACTATTTTTTTATAAAATTAATTACCTAAATGGAGGCGGGTGGGTGGGCGGGGTTTATTGTATGTTCTTCTGTAGAGCGGGGGCGGTAACTGATAGAAATAAGGCTGTAAAAAAGCGCTAATCGTAACTTTTTAATTCCCGAGTTCGTCGACCGACTCTACTTTTACATTTTCTCGAGCTTTCATGACCCCTAGAGTACGAAGAAATAGGTTCCTTTTTTCCGTCTGTCTGTCTGTGCGGCCGTCTGTCCGTATGTCTGTCTGCCATCATGGATTTTTATTAGGCAGATAATCTCCGAAAGTATTGGGCCGATTGTTGTCAAATTTGGTATTTACATTAGGAATATCAGTAGATGGTAAAACGCTAACCAAAATTTGTCTAGCCATCTCCACCAATAATGTGATGAAAAAACAAAATAACATTATAAAACACCATTTTGGAATTTAATTTTGAATCTGCAAAACCGAATACTTTAAAATCTTGGAGATGTTTTGAAGTTATCATAAGCATGGTAAATTTTTGATCAAAAGGTATTTGCTCATCCCCCCCTAAAAAATTGATGACGTCATTTCAAAATTTTGACGAACAAATCCTATCTAAAATGTGCAAAATATGATCAGTCTATACCTGTAATTTATCATTGCATTCATATTTTTTAGATTTGCTTATACAGGTGATTCAAAAATTTAATAAATCAGTCAATTCTGTGATAACTCAAACATCCCGCCTTAAACTGACATGTGAAAAAAAATTGAAAGCCCGCGAAAATTTCAAAAATTTGGCCATAGCTGTGATCGTCTGACAAAATGGAACCCTACGTTATGTTTTTGAAAAATGGATGCGTTGAGATGCTAATGATGGACCCCAAAGTTGGAAAAGTACCGCTAAATAATACACAAAGTTCAATATTTGAACATCACAAATTTGATAAAAACAAAGAAAAATTTGAATTAAAGTAACTAGATGCAAATACAGAAGTTAATACGGACGTGTGGCGGCAAATTTAAATTATGGCAGTCAACAAGAGCATAAAATTTTAATAAAAAAACTATGCAGGGGTAGCGGCACTAGAGTACTATAATAAGAGTATGGCGATCTAACTATGTCAATTTCAGTCTAGAGTACAGCAAAAATTTGCCAACAACGGTGATTCTATCTATCGCAAGCATAGTCAGAAGCCAACAGCGTCACGTCATCTCAACCGCCCCTGACTTTTATTCAAACCTGCATCCTTTTATGCAGATGGTGCGATAAATCCCGCCAGCTCGACTAGCAACCGTGCCCTCCGCTTCTGCCACGTATTTCCGTGTTATTTAACCTCAATTCCATTTAACAGTTCAATTTGTATGACTCAACTGAACAAGTATTAAAGTTTCAAAAAGAGCAATAAATATAATTTAAATTCGCCATACACTCTACTAAAGTTTTTAAACAACAAAGAATTCTTATCTGAGATTAAGCTTGGACATCAGACATTTATATGATGCAAACATTAATCAACAAAATATTTACATAACAAAAAAAACTAGCAAAGATTTATAAAAACAAAAAGATTTGATATTAAATAAAACTTGTGCAGAGAAAAAAATTACGTGAGGTTAGGAACTGCAGAGCATGAAAGTTTACGTTGAATTTAAATTATACAACAAAGAAAATTACTGAAGTTAAAATTATGAGATAGAGAAAAATTGCAAAGCTAACAAAATCAGATGAGGTTAATTTTTTATGTATATATATGCCGATAGTGGGGCAACGTTAGGTTGATTTAAGTGCTGTAATGAACTATTAGCAACCTTGTGTTATAATGTAACACTTAGTATTAGCATCCAGAAACTTATTCATAATTAGGTAAACAAAGGATCAGTCCTGACTAAGTGAATTTCATGAAATCTCCTAGCAAATACTCATCTAAACAAATTCATGATCGTTAAATTGTGTTAGAACTAGTTAACAATTAAACTCCCAACATGAACTGTGAATTTACAAACAATAAAACAAATTTACACCACGTGTTAGCGTCGGTCGAAAATTCGCATATGATCTAAGGGAAAACCATGGCATCGCAATCAGTACGATTAACTTTCGTCACTAGATATTCCCCAGAAATTCCCTAGGAGAGCTACCAACTACCAGAAAAGAACTAAACGTGCACATAGTTGCCTAGGTTTAACGATTTTCTTAACTGATTTTTTTTCCAAATTCAAATTATTCAAATGCGATTTCGCGCCGCTTGTTTTTATTTTTCAGCGCGAAATTTTAATTCAAATCTGATCACCACACAGTAGATTCGGAAATGATCTGCCTAATAAAATTGACACAGTCGACAGATGACATACAGACAGAAACGGGGAACTAAAAATGTACTTTTTCGTACTCTATATACCAAAATAATCGTCATGAAACGTCGAGAAAACATACTCATATAAAAGGTAAACGAAATTGACACTGAATGGAAATTAGGTGAAAAAACCACAGTATGTCAGGTGCCGAAAGACTAGTGGCGCCGCAGAAAGTCAGCGATACGTAGTGAACTACACGGTCCAATCTATTACTTCTCCTTCTCCTGCTTCTCCTACTCCGTGCTTTCGAATAAGATTCCGGTTCTACAAAAAACAAGATCTATATTTTTTTCGCCTAATTTCCGTTCCCCTTTTACGTGCGTTCTCTTAGAATACTTCCGTCTGAATTTAGATCTAATTTAAAAACAAACGTTGACCGACATCTTGACCTGCAGTGCTAACATGAAATTTATTTAAATTAGTACACAAACGCTTTATTGTTCAATTTGATTTTTAACCAGGAAATAAGTTTGAAATAATTTCACCATCCCTGAAAACGATACACATAGTGTGTTGTGATTTTAATGATCAGCAAATGTATTACCCAGGAAGCGCCAATTTTTTAAAAAATTAATTACTTTATTGTAAAATGACAACAATAAACCTACCATCACACCTTATTACATTAAAGAAAATAGATTTTTTTAAACAATAACTATTATATCAATGGTAAATTTATTATTCATGAATAATCGTTATAAATTTAAATAAGTTTATCGCCCACATCCGCCACCTCCACATCCACCGCCTCCACAAGCACTCCTTTTAGGAGCGCGATATGATGAAGAACCTCCAGGACCCATCAATGGGTTATAGTCTACAAAACAGACATTTTAATATAAAAAGCGATAACGCAATAAATCGCACCTTGTTTGAAAGTAGTTGGCTTATCATCTTTCTTGGTACCTCCTGAACCTCCCAGTACATGCCCCCCTTGTGAAGAACCATATTTTTCTACTAATTCTTGCCTCTTCCTCTCCTCTCTCTAAAACAAAAGTAATAACGTTCACGAAATATCAATCCACCTACTCTACTTCTTTCATCTTTCTTTGATGTTCCTCAGCTTCTCTATCATATTTTGCTTGCATCTTCTCAGCCCATTGTTGCTGAGCGTTAACATGAGCCGCAAATACATCTGGATCTAAAACATATTCAGTTATGGAAGTACAACAACAAAAATTGTACTTACTCTTGTGGTACTTTGCTGAATAATCTCTCTCGAATTTGTACTCCTTGTATTTATATAAATATGACTTCAGTGTTTTGTTGTAGATAAACATAAAAACGATTAGTGAAATCAGGATATACCAGCCATAATTTTCTAGGACATAGGTTACTACAAGCACAATTTGAGTTAACTTTCGTTTTTGCGTAATTGTCTTCATTACAACCTGAACTTAAACTTAAGACGTTCCAGGAACTTTCTTCTTCAAAACCTGTAGACTCCATTATGCCACATTAACGTAAGTTTTATAAATCAAGAATTGAATGCTTTTAAAGAAATGAGTCACTGTTTTCTTCCAAATTGTTGAATTGTTAAAATCAAGGTCAAAACTGTCTTCGTGTCATCGTGCTAAAATGAAGTAGAATTTCAGGGGAGAGTAGAACAGCGCTCGTCCATCAACGTAGAAACTTAAAACTGGAAAAAACTGATTAATCTAATAAAATTACAATTAATATTCACGTTGATAGTTTTTACAAACATATTTTATGAAGTACCTCGTACTACTAAATCGAAAAACAATGACATTAAAAAAATAGTTTTCGACTTTAAAGAATGTCTACGTAGTTTCTAATTTTTCGCGCTGCTTTCGCAGTGAACTGTCAACTTTGACGTTTTCCGTATGACTTCAAATTTTCTAGTTCTAGTTAAAACGTGAATAAACTTGTTTAATATCACATATCCCGTATAAAATGCCCCAAAGGAAGAAACCGTTCAGCGGTAAAGCGAAAAAAGAACAGTTAAAGGCTAAAAAACAGTCCAAACAAAATGCTCCTCAAGGTTAATTGGTAAATTTTTTAAATAAACACCATGTTTTATGTTTTATTTACAGAGGGATACGGCGCTAGAAACAGGAATCGTACAGTTAAACCAAGCGGCGGTGACAACGAACCACGTCAAATTCAAAAATTTCACTACTGCCCTTCTAAAGATGGAAGGTCTGATCGAAATCGCTACGCTTTACAGTTCTATCGTGAGAGCAATGCCGAAATTAAAGTACGAAAGGAGGAAGCATGCAAAACCATTGACGTCGTTCCTGAGGAAGCCCTAGAAATTGATTCAAAAGAATACTTTCCTAAAGAATTGGGCTTCCCTAAAAGACCACACTGGTCGTATGATATAAGCACAGAAGCTTTAGAAGCACGAGAAATTAATTATTTCAATGTAATAAAGCGATTTTTGGAAAACCTTGATTCAATTAAAGACGTTTTCAGGATTATGTCAACAACATTATTGAAAAATTTGATTTAAAAAATTTAGGTTTTTTTGAATTAAATTTAGAAACTTGGAGACAATTATGGAGAGTTCTTGAGATGTCTGATATTGTTTTACATATTGTGGATATTAGATTTCCCGTAAGTTACACTAGTTTTGTGTTTCATGTCATAGTCAGAGCTTATTTTTATTTAGGCACACATGTTCCCTCCGTCGCTCTATGAATACGTCACTGAAACCCTAAAGAAAGATTTTATTTTAGTCCTAAACAAGATTGATTTGGCGCCGGCGCCTTTAGTTGTTGCATGGAAAAAATATTTTGAAAAAAATTATCCAAATCTACACATTGCAATGTTTACTACTCTTCCTGGGTATAATTTAGTAGGAACCCAAGTAAATCGAGCTGGTGAGAAGCACTTGCTTTGAATATTTGTCATCATATTTGAGTTTTATTTCCACAGGTCTACAAGTACGTAAACGAAGAGGCAAATTCCGTCTAGCTGCCGAAGGAAGTCAACAGTTGTTTGAAGTTTGTAAATCTATAGTTGGCGATAATCTAGACATCAGTTCGTGGCAGAATAAAATCAAAGAAGAGATGAACTTAGAATATGAGGATGAAGAGGACGAAAAAGTAGAAATTGGGGAAACCGTTGAAATGAAATCAGTTGACACAAGTTTCTTTGAACACGAAAAATATAAAAACGGGGTTCTAACCATTGGTTGTTTAGGTCAACCCAATGTTGGTAAATCTTCTCTAATTAATGCTATTATGGGCAGGAAAGTTGTTAGTGTGTCAAGAACTCCAGGGCACACTAAACATTTTCAAACAATATTTTTAACCCCAAATGTCAGGTTGTGTGATTGTCCAGGTTTAGTTTTTCCTTCTGTTACACCCAAGGTTCTACAAGTTTTAATGGGCAGCTTCCCTATTGCTCAACTTCGAGAGCCGTTTACTACTGTGAAGTTTTTAGGTAAAGTATTAGTTATAATTGAGGTAATAAAAAAAATAACTTGCATTGTCCATTAATTAGGAGAACGTTTAGATTTGCCAAATATGTTAAGGATACAACATCCAGAAGATGATGACACGTGGTGCGCTATGGATATTTGTGATGGTTGGGCGAAAAAACGCGGTTTTCTTACCGCAAAAGCTGCTAGATTAGATAGTTATCGTGCTGCTAATGATTTGTTAAGAATGGCTCTTGATGGTAAAATTTGTTTGTGCTTGAGGCCTCCAGGTTACACCAACAAAAAAGGTAAAACTGATCTCTGCGCATGCGCATAGCGGAAAACGGTGGAACTAAATCCAACTTATTAAACAGACGTCAATCATACTCAAACTGAATAAAATCTTTTACCTGATTTTTATGGCATTAAATAATAAACAATAAAAATACATTAAAAAAGGACAAATGATGCAAAATAAAATCTCATGTTATTTCTTTGATATTTCAGAATATTGGACATCACATCCTGACATGGAAAAAGTTAAGTGGATCCAAGCAAAATCAGATGATAGTAACCATCCCGTCGATGATAAGGATTACTTATCAGATGAGTCTGATAATGACGTAGCTGGATCAGCTGGAGACCATAAAGAACCTAGTGACGAAGACAGCGAAGAAGACGAAGAAGAAAATAGTGATTCAGATGGTGAATTGCCTAAATACGCCCAAAACAAGTTTGCAGCTTTAGCAGAAGAAGACTAAACCATATCTTAGGATCATTCTAGATGTATAAGATTTTTGTAATCACGAATTATCGTTAAAATTTCTAGCTTTCATCAAATACATAAAATATTTCTAGTTATACTTGTTTTAATGTATTGATAATTTATTACCAAAAATCAAAATTAAAGTTTTTTGCTTTTACTTTTTTTCATGGCTATAAGTAATCTCGATTTAGTTGGAACAATAAACACTGGAACCATATCTTCGTTTCTAGTATTGGCACCCACAAGTTCCTTACTTTGTTTCTTAATGTCTTCTCTTGTTAATTGGGTTGTTGCTTCAGTGTACAAACCTTGCAGGAGAGCTGCAAAAAATTGAATACGAATTAGGGACGGTGCAGAGTAAGGGCATCTTAAACTCGTAATTAAAAACAAACAAAAGTGGTGTGGTGACCGAATTTGAATTAAAATTTCACACTGAAAAAAATTAACAGCAGCAACCATGTGCACGTTAACGCTTTTTGGTTAGTAGGTAGTTCTGCTTGGAATTTTAGTTAAGAGGTTATTAGAACAGGGCGGCTTCACTTTTGGTGTGTGTGTAACCACGTGGTGAGTTAGCTAGGTTAAGTTTAGTTGGTTTGGTAATTAATAAAAAAGTGAAATACTTTAACGACAATTAATCGTAACGACGGCGACGCCACAGTTTCCCCAACACGCGTAGCTAATTGTTGCGGCTTTCTAATCGGAAAAATGCAAATTTTCGACCGACGCTAACACGTTGTGCAAATTTGTTTTATTGTTTGTAAATTCACAATTCATGTTAAGAGTTTAATCGTTAACTAGTGCTAACACAATTTAACAATCAGGAATTTGTTTAGAAAAACTTACTAGGAGTTTTTTTTTACCAAATTGCGGATAACGTCTCTGGATGCTATACTTAAGTGTTACATTATTATGACACTTCTTAATTCTTCACACAAGTTTACGGCAGTTAAATTAACCTAACGTTGCTCCACTGTGGAAAAAGACTGTAGAAAAGTGCAGCAGAACTTATAATATCGTGAACTGAGAGACGGGGGGATTAAGATTTCTCTCCTTATACAGTTATCATCGTATCATCACCGAGTTTCTAACCTCACGTAATTTTTTGTCTGCACAAGTTTTACTTCACACCAGATCTTTTTTTGTTTTTTTTTTAATCTTTGCTAGTTTTATTATTTTGTACATATTTTGTACTTCCATCATAAATTATCTGATGTCCAATTTTAATCTCAAATAAGAATTATTTGTTGTTCAAATATTTCACGAGAGTGTATGGCGAATTTAAATGTTGTTTATTGCTCTTTTTGAAACTTTGTATAGAAGTCAGCGGCGGTCGAGATGACGAGAAGTGCTTTGCGGCAGTGCTTGCGATAGATAGAATCACCGTCGTGGGGTGAGAACAGCCACGACCAGGAACCCCAAACTCCGCTCCTGCTACAACGCCTCCTATGGGTATTTTTGTTGTGGTCTAAGATGAAATTGACATATTTTGATCGCCACACTCTTATAGCGCTTTGGTGCCGCTGTCGCTGCATAGCTTTTAATTAAAATTTTGTTCGCTTGTTGACTGCCATAATGTAAATTTGCCGCCACACGTCCGTAATAACTTGTGTCTTTGCATCCAGTTACTTTAATTCAGATTTTTCTTTGTTTTGATTAAATTTGTGATATTCAAATATTTGCATTGATTCAGAACGTTTAATTTAGTTCCATTCAAAGTTTGGAATTTTTTTTTGTAGCTGAGCACTAAGAAGGTCTTCAACCTGCGCAACTTAGTCGCCTTTTTTTCTTTTTTTTTTTGTCAGTGAAGGAATAAATAATTTTGTGTCCTGCATATATTTTGTGTTTTATTTAGCGGTACTTTTCCAAACTTGGAGTCCACCATTTGCGTCTGAACGCATCCCGCCATTTTTCAAAACACAATGTAGAGTTCCATTTTGTCACATGATCATAGCCATGGTCAAATTTTTAATTTTTGAATTTTTCGCGGGCTTTCAATTTTTTTTTTCACATGTCAATTTATCACAGTGGTTTACATTATACATAATCTTGGTATACCAAGTATTGATAAATAAATTCTATCCTGTATTTTATTACTGCATCTAGAGTTGTTAACGTGAAATATTTCACGTTAAATATTTATAAGTCGCGGGAATTATCTCGATGGCGGATTCCAGAACAACCTCGAAAGCGATGTCCGCCATCTTTGCAGAACGGCTGTTTAAATAGAGATCACTGTCGGGAGGAGTCTAGTCTAGTCTAGTCAATGAGAGAATTAGAGTCCAAGTTGAGTCGGAATTATTCTGTACATAATCCCTGTTTGTTAGTCGTATAAATTTGTATTACCGAGACATAAATTGTTGAGTTTTACCCACACCGATTTTAAATGCCCGTAAATCGTAACAATAGTTGTTCTCGAATTATTATTTTGATTTTAACCTTTAGTTTGCGTTTATTTCATGTGTGTTCTGTTTTATGTGTTTATGTAGTTGAGTCCATGATGTAATCTTTGTGAACAATTTTTTTATTTAACCAATAACTTGAATAAATTGTCGTCAAAATTTGGAAGATTTTAACGCTAATGGAGTGACGGGACCGCACATTCAAATTGAGAGTTTTTCTCTCTTCGTCGTTTTCACGTGAATGTTTATCTGGATACCGGATTTACGATCCTGGCGGACTACAAGTCTACTCGACTGTCTAATTTACGAGGATGGAAGTAAGCCTTAGGAATGCGAGTCTTGTGGCTGTAGTTAAGGCGAATAAACTTTCACAAGGAGATGCCTTTCGAGCCGCTGTCGCCTGGATGCCTCTTTTGCGAGGAATGGGGTATAACCTTGATAATGCGACTGGCTTTTTCGTGTTAGAGTCAGTGCGTAGTTTGCTTTCATGTTAATTTTAGTCAAGTCAAATTCAAACTATTTTTAAAAATAATGAATAAGAAAATAAATTACTTACATGATTCGCTTAATGCTGTCTCAACTTTAGAGAAAAAAATCGTACGTGCTTGCATCATTTGTTCAAAGCTTTCGTAAGCTTCATCTGGGGCTGTTTTTTCAGGCAAAGCAAAATAAGTAGCCATCAAAACCGAAAATTTTTTATTTATTATGGAAATTAATTTTCTTCCTAAAAAGATAAAATTTAGTGACTCTTTACTCGTTAGCAGTAGCCTAAACCGTCAATTTCATCTTCATCGGGTATTTCCATTTTTTTCTCCTTCTCTTGCGCAATATTGAATGGGTGAGGTGTAGATGACGACGATTTTTTTTTCATTGTTTCGGGAGGTTTTAAATTGTAGGAGAGTTGCAACAGCTGCCTGAGCGCAATTCGTATTTGCGCAGCCACTTCGTGTTTTTTCCGTAGAAGCTTTGCGCAATTTTCGTTTTCCTCTCTTATTTGAATAATTGAATTTTTGTATTCTTGCTTCTTGTAAAGATATCTAAAATTCCGCTTTTGTGAAAAAATCATCTAATTTTATTTTGGTACAAACTCCGCTATGTAGTCGTTGGCTGTGTTTTTTAAAACATTGTTCATGAGTTCAGCATGATTAGTTTTGTTTAATAAAGTGTCTCTGTCACGTTCAAACTTCTCTGCAAGATGTTTGAGACGGCGGTGTTGTTTAAATTGTTCGTCTAAACTTGATATTATATTTGGATTTAATCTGACCAAATGAAGTTTTTAAAAAAACATACCACGGATATATGGCGCTGTAGGAATTTACTAATGTTGTGTTTTTTAAGAATTTCAGTGTCTTTTCTACTTCTCCTATGTCTTTGTTTAGCTCGTGTACGCTCTGGGACTCAGCAATATTGATAGCACATGTGTTAATGTCACTCTACAAAAGACCAGTTATTACAGGTTTTGAATAAGATAAAAATAAGAAAATATTTGGCAATTTAAAAATTAAAAATATTGAAATGATAACTTTTGACGAAGAATCCATCTGGATTATCAAAGAGAATAAAATTACATCTTTTCTCAGCAGTAGTTTAATACTATCAGATGTGCTGTTAACTTGTTCGTGTAAAACTTTTATATCGGTTTTACGTGAACCCATGTCTTTCAAGATAATTTTTTCCAATGTGTCGTATTCTTGTCTTCTATCATCCAAATACTCTGTAGCCAACTGACCCAACTTTGTTGCTCCCAGGAAACATTTGCTTTGATGGTAGCCATCATTCGTCACTGTTGCTAGAATAGCATCAAAATACAAAGCATCCTGAAATTTGAAAACATTGTCATTTGAATGATATCTTTCTTCGTCACCTTTTTCATAATATCCCGTATTTCTGTGTAAATACGTTGAATAGACCACGCGGCTTCTTTTCTTAAAATAGCGTCTTGAACTTTCCCTGTGATAATCTGTGCTTCTTTTTCCTCTTTGATTTGACCTAAGAATGCATATTTGAGGCGATCCTCGAGCACAGCTTGTTCTAACTGCAAGTACACCGGCATAATTAAAAAGTTGTATCATCGTCGTTAAATTGAAATTACTTTCAAATCGATCAATTTCTGTGATTTCACTTTCTTCTCATAAAATAACTTATCGAGTGTTTTTCGTCTATTGAAATTGAGCTGCTCGATTTCATCAATTACAACCTAAAAACATCTAGTTATTTAAGTACTTGTTTATGCATGATAACCTGTGGAAGTGAGGAAAAATGTCATGGCCTGAGCGAGATTCGAACCTACGTCTCCCACTTGCCGGACGGGTGTTTTGACCACTAGATTATCAGGCACGTAATTATCTTTAATCACTTTCCACATTATATTGTGTCGCCACAAATCCATCCTTCTGAAGACGTTCTTTTTCAACAAATATTTTTAAGACGTCATCAGTCTCTTGGAGGGAATGAATTACATTAATAAATATTAATTGATGTTTTGTGATACTTTGTTGTAATTGGTCTACCGCTCAAATATTTGTTATCTTAAATATACCGGGTATTTTTTTTTAAACTGAACATATGCCTATGTTCAGTTTTAAAACGACGCAGTCAATTGCAACTGTAATGCAACCAACATTACAACAACTTCATCGTTTAAAAAAGTAGAATCAAATAGAATGCTTTGAAATGTTTTCTAAAATGTCAAAACTGCTTGCACACAATGTATTCAACAGAAGAAAAAATTCAAATACTGCAATGGTACCAAGCTGGTAGTAGCACGCGAATTGTAAGGGATTTATTTTCAATACAGTACCCTACTAGGCCAATTCCGTCTCTCGCAACAATTTGTAAAATAATTAAAAATTTTAATGCAAGAGGATGTGTCGTTAGTAGTCATCATCAAAGAAATAGGAGATGTCACATTTTAACCGAAGAGATGAAATTAAACGTATTATGCTACGCTGAAGAGGAACCAATATCCACCATAACGCAAATGAGTAACTAAGGTACTTCGGTATTTCCAGATTCTCAATTCGAAAAGTTTTGAAGGAATGTCGATTTAAACCATATAAATTTAGAAATCATCAATACCTCACTGAAGAGGATAAAATTAGGAGGACGGATTTTTGTGAATTGATGTTTAACTCACTGAACACTAATGAACAACTTTTAGAAAACATTATGTTTACAGACGAGGCATCATTTAGTAGGAATGGCGAAGTTAATTCACAAAATTATCGGTCAGATTTTCTACAATTTTATTATTCAATGCTATTTATGCCAAAATGTCCTTATTACAGATACTGGGCTCGCACAAATCCTCATGTGCAAAATTTAATTCGCCATCAAGTACAAGAAAGACTAAATGTGTGGGCTAGCTTAATAAACAATAGGCTCATTGGACCATTTTTTATTGATGGCAATTTAAATGCAAATAAATTTCTTAGACTTTTAAGGAACCAAATTATTCCTGAAACTGAACCACTAAATATTGAAAATATTTGGTTCCAGATGGATGGTGCACCAGCACATTCGTGTAGAATAGTTACGAATTATTTAAATGATGTATTTGGTGAACGTTGGATAGGCAGATATGGTCCTGTAGCTTGGCCTGCACGATCACCAGATCTTTCGCCAAATGATTTTTTCTCTGGGGACACCTACATAATACAATTTATGATCATGTAGAAATTCAAACAATTCAGGAGTTACAAGAACGAATAGTCAGAGCTTGCCAAGAGTTGAATCCAAATTTCGTACGAAATGCAGTGCAAGGATTCCATCACAGACTTGGTTATTGCTTGGAACAGGGAGGCGATCATTTCGAATATTTGTTATAAAATTTAGTTTTTGTTTTATAAAATTTTTGTCGTATTTATAGTTTTGTTTATTGTTGAACATGTGGATAACACGCTGTAGTTTCGGTAAAAAAGCTCTGCTTTACTCAAACGATTTCTCTTGGTTTGGCAACCAACAATGTTTCTGCATTGACAGCGTCGTTTTAAAACTGAACATAGGCCAATGTTCAGTTTAAAAAAAATGCCCGGTATTGTAAAATTTGGTAATCTAAAGTAGATAATATATTGTCGTGCCCGAATTGTTTTTGACCGCGGCCGAGCATTTGGACACCAACAAAATTATTTATTTGGGTGTAGGCCCATTTCCTTGGAAATGGAAGAGCTAAACTGCATAGGGGGGAAGAGGTAATAATGAAACGCTCCTAACATTTTGATACATATATTGAAAGATAAAAACTACAAGCTTAATAAAAGAATTAATGAGTAAATATGTATATGGAAAATGGCAAAATAAAACATAAGGTTAAACTTACACAGCTAAAGCATGCAAAACTGTAATAAACGGGCTACACAATTATGGTTAAAGTGGTTCCGGTTCGAAAACCTCCCAAAAACCCACCAAAAATATCCGTGTCGAGAACGCAGGGTCGAATCCGCAAATCCAGGAAAAGCTGACGCAAGGCCAAGAGTACCGCCCGCAAAGAAGAATATCTGTTAACGCTAACAATTCCTTCCGTCCCCAGCGTTATCTATTCACAGCAAACGCATCGAAGACCCCTGACAAAAAACGCATAAATTAAACGCTTTTGGGTTTCGTCTGCTGCTGTTTTAGTTTGGGTACGAATTCTAATGAAAGTAATTACGACTGGCGGTTTTTATGGATGTACGGTTCTGCGCGTGTTGTTCGCAATGTATGATAAGCGCAATGATATTTGAAATTTGCGAATATGCGAATTTTGTTTTTACGTTTGTGGATTGGTGGTCGAGTCTGTTTGAACGGTACTATATGTAGATTTGGACATGCGTGTTAGTTAATTAAGATTTGCAAATTTGCGAATTTTGTTTTTATGTTCTGGGAATGTTTTTCGTTTTTTTGTTGCGATTTTCTCGTGAACTGATTTAGTGACGGGCCATCACAGCATTACGAGAGAGGAAATTCTAAAAGTGTGACTTTTGGTGATTTTTCTGGGAGTTCCTAGTTCGCGGCCAAAGCTATGCATGTCACCGATTGGTGTTCAAAGTACTTGTGAAACACTTAGAAGTCGCCAGTGGACCTCAGTTTTTCACTACCTCCTCGATTCCAACCCAATACGGGTACACCGGAGGACGGTATTCGTTTGGTGAGGCCAAAGTCAGCTCCGAGATTCCAACCTTTGTCTGTCGAGAGGCCGCACCTCGACCAAATAGGTACTGGTGAACCTTCCCCATTGCCTCTGCCTTGCAAGCTTGGCGGTTAACGGGTTTCCCCGACCCCAAAGGACATTCCTATGGCTCGCTACTCGCGAAATAAATTTCTATCTACAAAGCTTTTGAAGTAGGTATTTAAAAAAAAATAGTAACTTGACTTGGTAACCAACTTTCCATTTTCCCCGAGCCGTCAAAAACACTCCTCTGCAGCCGCCCGGCTTCCTCGTACCCGTTAAACGCCCTCGGGGCTCTCACCAACCATGTGGCAATTGCGGCAGAAGTAAAAGGTGCCAGATTTTATAGACTTTGGATTAGGAATAGAAACCTTTGGGTCAGAGCCCCCATTTATGAAAACAGCTTGCATCAACGAGAAGGTGGGGGTTGACGCAGAGCAATAGAGGCTATGTTATCCGGTCCTTATATGCATCTTAACCCGCCATGAGCATCTTTTGACTCTTTGGGAAAAGCGGTATGCTGTCGGTACCCAGGTCACGGAAATTCAGTTGACTGACCCAGGGCTAGATGTGGAGTATTACGGACCTCCTACTTCTGGTCACTTGGCCGATGAGTTAAGTAGGCTTAAGCTTTGAAGGGTGTGAGTTAGCCTCATCCAGGGTTAGTTAAATCCCCCCAGGATGTATTCAGCTTCGCACAAAACTGGCATAATGAAATGTAAAAACCTCTGCCTTGATGCGGAGCGCTTGTATTCTGATGAAGCCCCACCTGCTGGTTAGGAGGCTATTCGGATGTATGATTTCTAGAGAGAGTTAACTCAGCAGTTATCAGCTTGGCATCCTGCCGAGTTAGTCGTTCCTTGCACATATTTCAAAAAAAGGCTTGCAGATCGAAATTTATTTTTGCATTTAATAAGCTAGCCAACTTCACCTCCCATAGTACCTACAGACTGGGTAGAGAGAATTGAATTTCCCAAATACCTAGGAAATCCACAGCGCGCAAAGAAAAGACCTACTTGTTCGAGGTACCCAGACAAATTTTGATACTTTACGGTGGACTTACAAGACCCCCCCCCCCCCCCCCCCATCCGAGAGTTGTCGACCTCCGGTGCTAACCTGCATTGGTGTTGGACTCGAGAAGGTAGTGGAAAGTTTCTTGATGGTGGTTCTCGCTTCGGAGAAAGTCCTAGAGCCTACGGGCGGTTAAAGTGGGAACATGGACTACTAGAAGATGAAATTTCACTTGAGCATGTATTGTAGCTGATCGGAAATCCCACCCTTAAATTAACCCTATTGCAGCGCAAAGTCGCTGTATCGTAATCAACCTACCCCTCTTATCGCAAGTACTAAAAAGCCCAAATTCTGGGGTCACCTTCAAATAATTTAGCCATCAAAATAATTTATTACTTTCCACGGGTTCGCAAATCCACATCACAACCGTTTCTTTGTGTCAATGTCTTCCAGGAATTCGTCCGATGCACACATTCATTGTTCTGACGCCTTATGTGGGCAGACGTTATCACTGACCAATCAAATCGTTTAGCAGTTGATATGGACGACACATCTTTTTTCCAAATTGGGCCAGAATTCACGTATGACCAATCAAAGCACTTCAAGGCCAATTAAAATCGCAGCCCGACCGGCATTCAAGGTCATCTAGTTCTTTTTTCTGACCTAATTCGGTCTCGCGGCTCGAACTTCTTATAATTAGAATTCGGCATTAGAACCGAGGTAGATGTGTCGAATCCCGTTTATCAGTTGTTTGATTGGTCCGTTTAGAGCCCAGTTCGTCCTTGCTTCTCCTCCGCCCTTTTTCCGACCAGCGACTCACTGCTCGAACCGATGGCTCTTATGGTGCAAGTTATCACCAGTACGCGGGGAATTATCTCACCGGTGCAATCCCCCAGTTGAAGTAAGGTGTGTTTTAGGGCGAGCAGCGGGGACGCTTTGAGCTGGTCCACAAGGTCGTAGCCAGTGCGTCGCTACGAGTGTTTACAGCTAGTAAAATACCACTTCTATATTACTTCAAATAATAATACTGGATGCCCTTTTTAATTTTTCAACCACAGGACCACAGATTTGTGATCTTGAAATGTTATATTATGTTGATATAGTCCAAAAAAAAATATATTTGTAATCAAACTATCGCCGCGCCAGCACTGGATCTAGCGTATGAGATACAATTCCGCGCGTTGGTTATCACTGACCCAATTAATTATGCGTGTGCAGCATATTCTGCCCTCGTACTTCATCGACCGATCAAATGTACTTAACAGGTAAATATGGAACATCCGACCAAGTTCTCTTTTTCGGTTGTATTCGGGGTTTCCGTGCCATGCTAACTGAAGCTGGAAGCTGTCCTATTGGGCACTGCCTACATTTTTCTAATTCACGCTCTAAATTCAGCGAACGGGCATTTCTCTACCATTAAAGTGTGCGTCCCTAACAGAGGAAGTTGTATTCAATACGAATAGTTAGGACTTTCACGACAAAATACCTTTCGGATAACGTTATGAAGTCAGCAGTTAGCGATTTATTAAGGTCCCATGAACCCTCTACTGCAGCAAAGATACCGAGTTATCTCTGAATATCTGTTTGGATCACACCCATGTGAAACTCAAGTTAAATCAGGATCTATATCATTGAGGACTGCACCAGATGGACCACACTCCAGTACGCTGTGGTGACCGAATTTAAATCAAAATTTTCGCGCTGAAATTAATTAACAGCGGCGCGGTTAATTCTTGCGGCCTTTTAATCGAAAAATGCGGACTTCCGGTTAACGCGAAACACGTGTTGTAAATTTGTTTCATTGTTTGTAAATTCACCAATCAAGTTAGTTTTTCTTACTAGTCAGCTAGTGCAAACACAGTTTAACAATCAGGATTATTTAAATAAACCACTTGCTAGAAGATTTCATGAAATTCACTTAGTCAGTAAAACACTTATTGATAATTACGCATAAGTTTCTGGATGCATATACGTAAGTGTTACATTATAACACTTCTAAATTCTTCACACAAGATTGCTAATAGTTCATTTACGGCAGTTAAACCAGAACTGGCGGGAGGGGTTTAAAATGTTTTCTTCCCTTAGGCGGTTATCATCATTATTATCATCGTTATCATGATTAATTTATCAAGGCATGCCCTCACAACGCCATAGATTGACTAATTTATCAAGGCATGCCCTCACAACGCTATAGATTGACTAATTTATCAAGGCATGCCCTCATAACGCTATAGATTGACTAATTTATCAAGGCATGCCCTCACAACGCTACGGATTGATTAATTTATCAAGGTATGCCCTCACAACGCTATAGATTGACTAATTTATCAAGGCATGCCCTCACAACGCTACGGATTGATTAATTTATCAAGGCATTCCCTCCCAACGCTACAGATTGATTACATCACCGAGACGCTTTTTCCCTTGGAGCGATGATTGGATATTTTTGTGTTTGTCTATTATGTGTTTTGTTGGGATAACGAGTTCGCGGTATTTTAAACTCTCAAAGTAAATTATATTTTGAAGTAACCAATCACTTAGATCATGATATAATTTGACATAATGTAAATTCTTTGTTTGGATCGTTGAAAGTGTGGCAATTATTAATCTCATGTAAATTTTGTTAACTTTGCAAATTTTCACCTCATACAATATTTCTCAATCTCAAAGTACTTTAGTAATTTTATTTGTTGTATAATTTTAATTGAACGTAAATTTCATGTTCTACAGTTTTAACCTCACATAATACATATTTCTATTTCTACAAGTTCATTTCACACCAGATCTTTTGTTTCATAAATCCTTGCTAAGTTTTGTTTTGTAAATACTTTGTTGATGAATGTTTCTATCATATAAATTATTTGATGTCCAATTTTAATCTTACATAAGAATTATTTGTTCAAAAGTTCACAAGATTAGGTATATGGCGAATTTAAATGTTGTTTATTGCTCGTTGAAACTTTAACACTTGTTCAGTTGTTGTTAATATCAAAGTTATAAGAGATTGAATATTTAAAAATGGAATTGAGGTTAAATGACACAGAAAACGTGGCAGAAGCGAAGTTCGGTTCCTAGTCGAGCCAATGATGAGTCGAGCTGGCGAGATTTATCGTGTCACTGTACAAGCCCACAGATTCAGGGGCGGCCGCCGGTTTGTAGTGCTCTCGACTTGGACCAATAGTGGAGATCCACTTGCGAGTCTGGCGACCGTAGTGGCCTAGTTCCGCAGGGCACGTTCGTAATGGAGATATGCGTGCGGGTAGGCTTTGTGATAGATAGAATCACCGTCGTGGGGGGAGAACAGCTCCAGACCGGTATCCCCAAACTCCACTTGTGCTACAACGCCCCAGGGGTACTTTTGTTGTGCTTCTGTTAACTGCCGTAACTTTAAAAATCAGCCGCCACACCCCGTAATAACTTGTGTATTTGCATCCAGTTACTTAATTCAGATTTTGCATTTTTAAATTTTTCGCAGGCCCTTCAAACTTTTTCAAGGTCAATTTAAAGGCGGGAAATTTGGGGTTATTACAACGCTTTCGCAGAAAAATTCACATGAGTATAAATACACCAAGTCTTCCTTCCTTTGGTACCAAACACAGACACTAAATGCAATTGCCTACCATAATAGCAAAAATGGTAGAAGAAGAAACCGAGTTCCGAAGCCTCGACTATCTACATATATGAAGATCCCTTCAGCAGGCATAGTCTCTGCAGTTCGGATCATAAAGTTCTTCAAGAGACAGTTTGGAACGGTGACAAAATAATGGCAAATGCATTTTTATGAACTCTTTTCGGCGACAAAACTGTGAGAAACGGATTTTTTTCGCATTTTCTATGCTGTTCTCACACTCGAAAACTCCTAATAAAAGGAACATAATTGGACCCGAAAATCAATCTGATCCGCTTCAATCTTTGTTTCTTCTCGAAGCGGCCCTTCACAGGTCCGGGACCTAAGGGGCATTCTTGATGATCGCCACCGGTAAAAACTCGAACACTGAATTTTAAAATAAGCAATTTTTTCTACGCTTGTTCATTACGTTGGCGAACTCCAAAAACGCCAAAATTCATTTTGTTGTTATAAATACACTGTTTTAAATCAGAAACTGCTCTATGTAGTAACCCAAAATGGACACTACCTTCCACGGACAAACCGATTTGCCGAATACCGACTGAGACAAAACGAGTCAGAGTCATTGCACCCACACCACTTCTAAAATTGGATATTTACGCATGCGCACTACGTCGCACCAGACGCTTTTGTGGCACAAACTTGATATAATTTTAAATTTATTTCAGTCCAAATGGATTTTATTTGTATTCATTACTTTAATAAATAAATGTAGGTAAGCAGAGAAAAATGTTGTGCCTCGGTGGGATTCCAACCCCACGCCTCTCGCTCTCCGGGCAAGCATCCTAACCACTAGACCACGAGGCCACTTATCTTTCTCTGCTTACCGACGTGTTATTGTGCCACCACAATAAATACATCAGTAAAATTTGTATACACATGAAAACGGAATTACACCCCTAATTTTTGGGGGAATAAGTCGTCCCTGCTCCTAATCACATTTTGTGTTTTTGTCCAGCACTTACTGGGATCAGGAAATAACACATGAACTTCCAAAGTTTGAAGGCATCTATACATGTTATGTAATCATACATGACAATGCTTTATCAACTTCCCGCCCTTGTTTTTACAATTTGTGTACCTGTTCATACCTTTGGTTGAGAATTTTGGAAAGCCAACTGGAGTTCTCTATGATCAGAAAGAGTATTTCTCAATTTCTGTTTGTCTCCTCTAACAGCATTGTCCAGCGCATAACGATCTGTAAACACCTTCTTCGCCAAATCTTTCAGTTCTCTCTGAACTTTTTTCCTGGTCACGTTTATGTCCGAATCGACAATTTTGTGATCTCTAGCTACAAATTTTGAATTACCACGCATATCAAATGAAATACATCGTTTTTAAATTACTGTATAGATTGATAAGTCCTCTGTACTGCAATATTTTATCTTTCGTCGTCCATTTATTCGACTGCATGCCATGCTGCCGCACTTTTTTGGCCGAGAACATATTCACTTTACTATTCATTTTGAATACGCGCGAAAACCCTTGGAACGAATACAAAAAAAAAAAAAAAAATTAAAATAAAACCGACAACTGATGATGTATTAATAAAACTTCATCGTGTCATACCTACTTGATAAATAGATTTATTAAATTATTTACAAATGATATAATCTTCAACAAACGTATCAATGTCTTCAAGGAGTTTCAAAACATCGTTGACTAACCGGTCCTTGTGAGGAAGTGATGACAACCATACATTAAAGTGCTCTTTGGAATTTTCGGTGTCTAAACATTTCTTCAAGGACTCGTCTTTTATGGACAAACTAAAAAACAAACTTGTAAATACCCTTATATCTAGTAATTGTGATCAACTTACATTTTCAAAAGAATTATTGCAATATAATTCCAGAGAGGAGGTTTAAACACAATATTGTCAGGTTTCAGTTTGAACGTTTTAACTAAAGCCTGCAGGTCTGAGAGAACCAAGTTTGGATTAAGTTTCAAGCTTTGGAATAAAAGTTGGACCCTGTAAGAAGTTTTGCTTAAATTGAGGAATTTTTCTCATGTTTAAATTTTATTGTTATCTCAAAAACGCGATGATGTATTGAAAATTGTTACATATATGTACTGTCATCAAGATTGTTGGGCACTTTGTAAAAAAAACTTTATACTTAAACCTATACATTATGAAAACCCAAAATGAAAACTTACGTTTTGTTGAGTGACGTTAAAAATATTTTTCTCCTTAGGGCATTTTGTGCGTTGACATCAACCAATGGTAATATGGCTGGTGGTCCATCATCATTTTTGGTTTCTTCTTCTTCTTCTTCCCTTTTCTTTGTGGGGAAATTTTTATCTTCTTGAACATGTAATTCTCCAGAGTAAAATGACTTTATTTTCAAATCAAGTTCTCTATTATCTTTCTTTAATTGTTGATAATCTGGAATGGGATTCAATTTGTGGTTGCCAATAACAGCATTATCAAACTTTTCATCAGCAAGTTCTTTCAAATGCAGTTTCCTGCATATATCCATATATCTTTTTTGTTGTTCCACTTGCAACTCTGCAATTTTTAAGGATTCAAAATAGTCGCTCAACTTTTGAGAATCCAATTTTTCCTTCACTTTATCTTCTCCATAGATAAAAGAGTATGTTTCCAATGAAAGCCACTCTTTGAAACATTTATAAATGTGTGATTCAACATCAAGGTTATTTGTGGATTTCCAATACTGTGGCTTTTTCTGTTCAACTGTTACTGAACATTGTTGTTCAATTTGTGGTTCTTTATTGCAACTTCCCTCTGACTTTAAAATAAGGTCCTTATCACTTACTACAGGACTAACATTTGCTTTGATATGATCATGATAAGTGTTTTCTTCTGGTTCAACTTCCTCTTCATTTTCTTTTATTGTTTTCATTGTAATTTTCTGGAATTTTTTTGGCTTTTTTGGTTGTTTTTTAGTTTCTTGTTCTTCTGGATTTAGCTCCAGCTCTTCTGCTTCATCTAGGGACATCTGTGTAAACGCCGACACTGATGTAAAAATTGGTTCAGTCGGTGGTCTTACTACGCCTATATCCACAACTTCTCCAGGTAAACCCCTAAAACAAATGTAATCAGCACAAATTTGATTAAACCAAAAAACTACTTTTCAGATTTGTTTAAAAGTGTGAAGTGTGATTTTTCGTTATGTTTTCTGAGCCACAATGGACTAGTGTCAATCTGACCCTTAATGTGAATACTAGCTCGGTAACAGAAATTGCTGCAGTAATTCTAAAATATTTGAATTACTACCGTTTGACTACTCTGCACACAAAATGTGTACCTTACGATCCGTAAGATCATAAACCTTTTTACTTTTTGTGGAAATGTAAAATTGTTTCTTTGGCATGTCTGGAATGTGTCTAGAACACAGGGGATAACCACACAACTTGCTTATGGCCCTTTCCTCCACAATATCTTGATAATGGGACTGATTAATGTATGGTAACTAAAATAAAGCAGTCATTCTAACTACCTAAATAATGGTACAATGACTTACACATCTGAACAAAGCATCTGACCTCATTTTCCCTTCTATTGCAAATTGAAGAATTTGCATTGCTTTTGCATCACATTCCTTTTTAATTTGGGCAGTTATCAAAGCCTCTTTTCTAGAAACGCTAAATGCCAAAAGTTAAACAAACAACTGCGTTTCATTTAAATTCCAAATACACACCTGACTTGTGTTGGTCCCTCTTTAATGTTTCGAGAAATTCGTATGTAGTCTTCGATTGAGTCTTGCATAATGCTTATATATTAAAAAAGCATAAATCTTAATAACTGCACTAAACTGTAAAGAAGAAAAGTACGAGAGGCATAACCTCACAAGCAAACGTCAAAAAAGTAAATGATAAATGACGCAAAAGCAAAACTTGACGTAAACAGTCATATGATAATAGTCAACCAATCATATTACATTTCCCGGGAGTTGGTGCAATTATTGATTGGGCAATGTTATAGGTTGGTATTGGATTGATTTGTCCAGTGGTTGGTAGACCTGTCGAAATTGTAAACGTCAGGTGAAAATTCAATGGAGGTTAATAAGAATTTCTTTTTTTCGTAATTTCCACTTCCGTGGAGCTAGTTTTCAACGTTCGAATTTTTTATTTGTTATTCTTATAGTGAACAGCAATGGCTGGATCCGCGTTAAGACGGTTAATGGCGGAATACAAACGTAAGATGTGACATAACCTAAAAATGTTTCCAGTGTTTTCATTCATTTTCGAAATTTTAGAGTTGACGTTAAACCCACCTGAAGGTATTATAGCGGGTCCAATAAACGAGGAGAACTTTTTCGAATGGGAAGCTCTAATTACGTAGGTATTGAATTTATGAAGACAAGTTCATGAGTATCCTTTGCAGTGGTCCTGAGGGGACCTGTTTCGAGGGAGGCGTTTTTCCAGCTAAACTCATTTTTCCCGCTGATTATCCTTTGAGTCCCCCAAAAATGCAGTTTACGTGTGAAATGTTTCATCCAAACAGTAAGCTTAAGCAATAGTGTGTTATACACTAACATGAGTCGGCAAATTTTAGTATATGCTGATGGTAGAGTTTGCATTTCTATATTACACGCTCCTGGGGATGATCCTATGGGGTATGAGTCAAGTGCTGAGAGGTGGTCACCTGTACAAAGCGTGGAAAAAATTTTACTTTCGGTAGTTAGCATGTTGGCAGGTGAGGATTAATGCAATTAAGAACAAATGTACTTAAGTTTCAACTTTAGAACCAAATGATGAGAGTGGAGCTAATGTAGATGCCGCAAAAATGTGGAGAGAAAACAGAGAAGAGTTTAATAAAATAGCTGAAAGAATAGTACGAAGAACACTAGGAATTCCTACATAAATCAAAATGTGGTATTATTTATTATAAGCGTTAAGGGGTGTTCAATTTTAATGACTTAGGTTCAAGTGCTGATGTTTGTTAGAAATATGTTATGGTTATTTTTAGAGTTTTGGGGGCGCTTGATCCTAAGAACAAAAATGTAAATTGTTATCACTGAGAAAATTTATTTCAATATATTAATTCTGACAACAGCAAAATCATAAACTTAATCTGTTAGGAACCTATGCTATTGTTGAAATAAATATAACAGCGTTCAGTGTAGGAGCAGTGAACAAACTAATCCCAACAGGCCACTCATACTGTAAAAACACCCTATTGTTTAACTTCACAACCTATTATGAAATACATTTTATCTACTACGCTTTGCTTAGAAATGATCATATAATGGCTTAAAAACTACAGCAACAAGCATACAATACTAAAATCACATTAAAACTTTGGTCTGAAGATAATTGCACAAATTAACACAACAAAAAAAATAAATAACTATAAATATGGTACAAAATTAAAACCTCAGGATTGTCTGGGGTTCGTGTTATTTACGACAACATAATTATTTAAAGGTACGTTTGGAATAACGGGGTCCTGGACTTCGTTTTCTTGATAGTCGCGTCGAATCGCTGGAGTGGGGTTTCTAGGAGGGACTTGTTCATTACTTGTATCTTCTACATCTATCAGATGCTCTGAATAATAGTGTGGAGTGTTTAAGTAGTCAATCATCCTTCTTGGTAATGGAAGACTGGGAATTAAATCCCTTCGCACCACTTTATGAATTGCAAATCTAACAAAACGTGTTTAGTACATTCAAATTTGAAAAATCGACCGTCTTACCTGCAAATATGTTGTAAACTTTGCACTTGTTTAAACCGTGATACTGGATGTAATAATTGCACTCTGACTGGCCCAATCACAGGTCTCCGATGCAAAAAGAATAAATATCTACCGCTCCGAGAGTGTTCAACGGCATTTTCTATAAATTCTACTATTGTTTGAGACTTGAACTTTGTACAACTACCAAAACTAAAGTTACCTAAAAATGTTTAAAAATGATTAGATACAACCCACAAATTAAAAAAAATACAGGATAGATAATGATGCTTCAGTGAATAAGTCTGATTATAAAACGTATAAATATTTTAAATTACGACCTTTCCAAAATTAATACTTGTATAACAATGCAGTTTTAATTGTAGTAACACGACTAATGTTCAGCGATGCACAACTAAGTCCAAACAAGTATGTAACTAAATGAGCACGTGTTACGTGATAATTTTTGTAACCATTTGATAACATAGTACGTAGAAATGAATTGAACGACAGGAAGTCTGCTTAAGAATTTGATAAAATTAACCGTAATGCTTTCGGTTTCACCGGAAATGAAGGCGATTTTTATTTTAAAAATATAATAATCTTACCCTGATCGTGGTCGATTCTGACGTGTCTAACACAGTTATTCAGCTTAAAAGTTAGAGAAAAAATATAGTGATCGTCGCTACTATCACGCACAATGAATGATCCGTCTGGTTCGTTGGACAATATTTTTTCAGCAACCTCACTTGGTAGCGGACCCCAATACCACCCATACTAAAATTGAGACAAATCAGTGAAACACTTAAGCCACTTAATTTCGACATGCGTACATCTTTCACCCTCTGTATGCTGGTAGCAAAATCCAAAAACTGCTCCTCCTCCACGACTTCTTCTTTTTCTTTTAAAGGCAAAGGCGGCAAAGCCCTACTGGATATGTTATAGTGCGTTTCTTCGGCCAAATTGGCGTTACTACTATAATTGTTTTTTTCTTGTACATCGCTAACATCACATTTGACATGCTCAGGTGACAAAAACCTCTTGAACCTGAACATATTGCATAAGGTCTGCTTGAAGGACAGAAACTTCGCTGGTGCCTTTTTGCGTTTGTCCGGTTTAGTTGCTTGCGAAATGTTTATTTGTTTACCAACGTTATCACAGGAGTCTTTCACTTTTTTATTCTTAATGTTAATGAGGAATGTATTCTTTTTTGTTCGTCCGGCGGCGCTTGCTACATAGTTCGCTTCTCTGACTGCGTGCGTGTTGTTTGTTTCTGTTGCGTACTTGTCGGTGACTATTAATGGGGGCCTCGGTCGGTATATTTTCTCTTTATGATCGGAAGAATCGGAAGAACTTGAATAGAGAGTCTGAAGATAATGACGCACGTCTTGAAGAGTCATGTGGATGGGTTCTCCCTCTATTGGCGCGGACGTACCAGCAACACTGTGGCGCTTGTTCTCTTTATGTAAACACCAGTGATACTGAAAATGGTCAATTGTCAAATATTAACAAACATCGAATTTGCGGTGAATGATATCACGAGTGCTAAAAAGAGAATAAATATGAACTGGGAATGAAACAAAACAATTAAGCCGCAAATATTTTTTATTGCTTAGTTCAGCGCAGGAAAAGATAATTGAGATGATGACGTGTCATGAAAAATTTGCATTTTCTCATTATAGTAGTTAAGTTGTGTCACTTATTATCATTCATAAAATTAATTCGTTACTGGAATTACTAAGTGTAATGAAAACTAATAATATAAATAGTACGAAACAAACATCAACAACATTGGTCTAACAACTCGACAGTACTTTTCTCGCTCAAACCCATGCCTCTTTGGTAAAGTTTTTAAATTAATTTTGATGATTATAATATTATTAAGCCAAACATTGTTATCTCCCCCGAAAATCTATTTATTCAACGCTTACATTATTCATTTTACTCAAGAATTTGAAAAAATACTACTTTTTACGGATCTTAATGTCAAATTTCAAATAAATAATAACAGCAATTTCCATATTTTTGGGCGACCTGTGTATTTATGTCTTTCCCCTAATTAAAATAAAGCATTTAATAAAGTTTATTATTATCACCTCTACGACCCAGTGAGTTAATCAGGTTTAAAAGAATTCTTTATATGCTTAAATTAAATAAAATAATTAATAATAATTAATCAATCTAGTAATATTTTCATTAAAAAATTAAGATAGGGTCATCAATTTTCGTATATTATACTACACTTTTAAACTAAAATTTTGTTAAATGTTTAAATTCTGATACGGGTAGTGTATCACTAATAACAACATTATGTTCCTAGAATTAAACAAAATCTGTGTTTGAAAAAAATTCTTATTTTTACTTTTCGAGCGAACGCTAATTTTGTACAATAAACAACTTAAATTTCGTATTGTGCTTTATGAATGCGATTGTATTTACAATTTGTACGTGATTTTGCCGGTCACACGCTTATCGACAGTTGTTTTTTTCACACTATTAAGCGTCACCAACGTTCACAAATTTTTTAACACTACAATATGTAGTTCAAACTTAATTTGAAGGGTTAAATTAAATTCTAAAATGGGCGCGTAATCGATAAAACCAATTGACCCTGTATAACTTGTAACCAACTTCCGAGGTATGTGTTTAAGATTTAATTTGAAAGATATTTTAAAAATAACGTAAAAAAATGTTTCTCTACTACTATTTCAAGGGGAGGTTTTTTCAAGCATATTTCAAATTAAATTATGCAATTCAATTATAAACATTTTATAACTATGGTTGAGCTATTAATTTAATAATCAAAAAATAAAAAATGAAAACACTTTTTATTTTCTTGTAAAATTATATTTTAATTCGTTACTATATTATTATTATTTACCTCATTGGCCGGAATAGTACATCGGAAATCGCATCAGGGGAACTCGGTTAAATACTTGAAGATTTATAATTAACTAGCGGAACCCGGCAGACGTTGTCCTGCTTGTGTATATATTTACTTTGTATATATGTGGATATAAATGTATGGTCTGGAGCGCAGAATGCGTTGTAGAAAACTGAATAATAAGATAACTCATATTGATGCTATTCCATTTATTTTCATTAGTATACACAATGTACACATTTTTGTATTAGTAATTCACGTGAATGAACAAAATTTTTGACTATTGTATGCGCTATATATGCTAGTCCAAAAGGTATAAGGTTATATGACCATTATAAAAGTAGTTGACCGCAAATAAGTACCCCCTTTGTGTGGTTCGCACTAAGCTTACCCGGTTGGCAATAAATCGTCTTCTCAACATTTCTTGCTCATATTTAACAGGGCCGGCTTTCAAAGCGAGTGGTGATTTCGGAACCCTCAGCGGCTGCAGGTAGTAAAGAAATAATGGAGTGGTGGATTTACATATTTAGTGAAAGCCGTCCCTGAACGAAACCACAACAGCCGGTCGAGCTCCATTGGACACGTTATTTACGACCCTAAAACCTTTTCTATTGTAAACAACTTAACTTCGACACAATGGGATAATTTTATGATGGCCATATAACCTTATAGCTTTTGGTCCACTATAACTGAAACAACTTGAACACATTTTAATCAATACTAACATCTATCGTAACGCTAGTGGGTAAACAATATTTTTGGTTTTTCGATTTGGTGTATAGACGTACAGAGTTTTTGGAATTCCTACTCTGGAGCAAGCAACATACAGTTGACCATGCGAAAAACATGGATTTCCTAAATTTAATTCGGCAACGCGCAGAGACTGCCCTTGGGCTTTGTTGATTGCCATCGCGAAAGCAAGACGCACAGGAAACTGTAGTCGTTTGAATGTAAAGGGCAAATCAGTAGGAACCATTGGAATGCGCGGAATCAGTTTGATTTTTTGGATGGCATTTTCAATAATCTCTAGTAATTCACTTTTTGTTATTACTGAGGATTGTAGACAGTGAACATCACTAATGATTTTATTTTGCGGTCAATACGATTTTTGTTGTAATACCAACGAAAACAATGCGGTCATTGGTGCCGCCATATATCTAATACTTGCTAACTCTTCAGAAGTAACATAGAAACGGTGTTCACGGACAAAGGGAGACGGAAGATATTGTTTTCTGTCTAGAAAAGTACCGAGGGTCTGTGCGCACGTACACAAAATAGAAGCGAACGTATGAAATGTCAAAACACATCTAGTCACGTTATCGACTAAAAATCAAGCAAGTACGAGTATATGAGCAGTACTGTTTGTTACTACAGAGAGACAAAGAGGTCCGATATATTGCTTTGCCGTTGTGTTTTCGGACTCTTTTGAGGCCTGATAGCAATATAGTAGTATTCGATATATGGGTACCGCTGATTCTCTAAGTTCATAATACTTTAACAGAGAGGCTGATGTGCTGCAGTGCCATCTAGTGGCAAGTTACAGCAAAATCGATAACGCGAAAATATTCTCCATGGTCAAATACCAACGTATATCAATTTTCATGAGGATCGGTTGATTGGTACAGAAGTTGATGTGTTGCAGCGCCATCTAGTGGCGAGTTACAGCAAAATGGATAGGGTGAAAATATTCTCCATAGTCAAATGCCAACGTGTACCAATTTTCATGAGGATCGGTTGATTGGTACAGAAGTTGATGTGTTGCAGCGCCATCTAGTGGCGAGTTACAGCAAAATGGATAGGGCGAAAATATTCTCCATAGTCAAATGCCAACGTGTACCAATTTTTATCAGAATCGGTTGAACGGTGTAGAAGTTGATGTGCTGTAGCGCCATCTAGTGGCTAGTTACAGCAAAGCGGATACCACAAAAACCTTCTCCATGAAAAACCACTTACATGTGCCAAATTTCATGGTGATCGGTCAAATGATTTCGGAGTCTATCGATCACAGATATATATATATACCAACATCCATTTTTATATATTAGACTAGCGGAACCCGGCAGACGTTGTCCTGCTTGTGTATATATTATATGTGGATATAAATGTATGGTCTGGAGCGCAGAATGCGTTGTAGAAAACTGAATAATAAGATTAATTCATATTGATGCTGTTCCATTTATTTTCATTAGTATACACAATGTACACATTTTTGTATTAGTAATTCACGTGAATGAACAAAATTTTTGACTATTGTATTCGCTATATAACTGAAACAACTTGAACACATTTTAATCAATACTAACATCTATCGTAACGCTAGTGGGTAAACAATATTTTTGGTTTTTCGATTTGGTGTATAGACGTACAGAGTTTTTGGAGTTCCTACTCTGGAGCAAGCAACATACAGTTGACCATGCGAAAAACATGGATTTCGTAAATTTAATCCGGCAACGCGTAGAGACTGCCCTTGGGCTTTGTTGATTGTCATCGCGAAAGCAAGACGCACAGGAAACTGTAGTCGTTTGAATGTAAAGGGCAAATCAGTAGGAACCATTGGAATGCACGGAATCAGCACATCTTCACCTTTACATTTGCCGCTAATTATTGTTGCTTCAATCACATTCGGCATCAGTTTTTTCACTGAAAGTCTGGTTCCATTGCATAACTTCGGGGTATTGAGATTCCGAAGGAGCAGTATTGGTGAGCCAACTTTTAACGTCAGTATGTGCGGTGGCATTCCAGGAGGCTCCAACGAATTGACAAATTCGACTGGATAATACAGCTTGGTCCTCTTCTGTAACTGTGTCAATCGATTTGTATTCCGTAATCACCCCAGGAATTTTTAATTGAATCTTATTATTGATTCGATTGACATCATCATTCTTTGGAGCTAAGATAGCTCGCTCGCAAAGCCAATCATGATTTCTAAAGTTGTTGGCGATGTTGGAGAAAACTCTCTCTTCAAGTTCTTCAATTGATGACTGAAGTTGACAGAAGTTCGGAGGGAACGCTATCTCCTGTGTTGTAGGATCAGCCAAAAGTTTGCCGTCGCCGATATCCAAAAGTTGTTTGGCAAATATTTGTGCAGAAACATCTCCAAGTAAATGCACACGCATATTGGTCGACAGTGTAATTTTTTTCACACGTCTCCAGAGAGACGAATTTTTCAGGCATGCATTCAACTCGTCTGCTGGTGTTGATCTAGGAATCACGGGCAAAGTTTGACGGAAATCACCTGCGAGCAGGATCAGAGCTCCGCCCAGTGGACGTTCATCGCTTCGGAAATCTCACAGAGTACGATCAAGTGCTTCAAGTCCTTTCTTATGGGCCATAGTACATTCATCCCAAATAATCAGTTGGCATGTTTTCAATACAGTTGCCATTCCAGTTGTTTTTCCAATGTTGCAAAGAGGATCAGCAGCTAGATTTAAATTCAATGGCAGCTTGAGAACCGAATGCGCCGTGCGTCCTCCATCGAGTAATGTTGCTGCAATCCCCGATGATGCCACAGCTAAAGCAATCTCATGTTTCATTCAAATTTCAGCGAGTATCAAATTGAGTAGAAACGTTTTTCCTGTGCCTCCTGGTGCATCAAGAAAAAGAAGTCCACCATTTCCGCCTCGCACATGCTCCATAATTGTGTCGTATGCAAGTCGTTGATCGTTTGTTAAGAGCCTTTTCTGAGTTTCAACATAAACTTGTAGCGCATCGACGTCGTATTGTTTTTCTCGCAATACGTCTCTATCTATAACATCGTTTCTGTCACGTTCCGGTGAAAACAGCCCAAGCTGATTGAGGATTTTGTTGTTAATCGACATACACACATCCTCAAGTGATATCAGTGCTTCATTGAAAATGTCTTCCGAATACTGTACATCCAAGCCGGGATTATTTTTGCGTGCTCGGAGAAGTATGTCTTCGCTCATAGTCTCTTTGTGTTTTTCCCATAAACCTTTCGGATCAGAAGGTGCGCAGGTTGTCAAAATTATGGCAAACAGAGTTCGTATTTGATGGGCATGACGTGTCTCAGATGCTTCCGCTAATGTGTTGTCCCAATGTTGATCATTTTCAAGCAAACCAAGTTTAAAACATGCTTCTCTGTATGTTTCACACTCTTGATCATCGATTGTTTTGATTGCTTGAAACGATGTTGGTCCTTTGACCACGTGAAGCAGCATTCGCAAATAGTAGCATTCACCATTATTTGGATGAACAGTATATACTCTTCCCAGTGCACCAGTAGAAAATATGCCAGCTATAGAAGAATGCCTGGCGCCTCGTTTTCTTCTGCAAAATTTCTTCGTCGATTGATTCCAAGTGTAGTACTGCGGGACTTCGTGATACATTAATGTTTTTGCGAATTCGTCAGTTGCACACAATTGGAAAAAAGCGGTCAACGTTGTATTTGGTGGATCTGCAACTCGTTGGGGTGCGTTGTCTTCCGTGAAGTAGACTCGTTGACCGTTTTCCAAGTGAACACTGGGATGCATGACAGCAGGAAAGCGTTCATGAATGTCGAAACCAAGAATTCTCCATACAGCTTCATTACTGCTAATGTAACGTCCCATTTGAAATTGCTCGATTTCATTGACGGGCGCATTGGGATTCGCAATTCCGAAAATGCCATATCGCTGCCTTTATTCACGTATTTGCATATGTATTTTATTGCCTTAACTGAATTACAGGACTCCACGTTGATATGTGCATTGAATGATTTCGAAAGGATAGGAGAGTAGGGCACAATCCATCGGTTATCAACTTCGAAATCAACGTTATTGATTTTGATAGTTGTGGTGTATCCTCCATCATCTGGTTTTCGTCGTCTGTACAACGGATAACCGTCGCCACCAGTTTGTGTTTCTTGCAGCAGCTGGCGTGGATACTTTTTGGTGCATTTTCCGTCTTTCATGCATGGCGAGTGTGGGTTGTGTCCCCCACATGGTCCGTGAATCATATTTTTTTTCACAATTTCAAATAATTCTGGATCTTCTTCTGCGTTGGGCAGCTCAGCAGTAATGATATCATCAATTTGAGTTGGAACAATTTTTTCAACCAACCAAATTAAGATATGAGCATGTGGTAGACCTCTTTTCTGCCATTCGATGGAATACATCCAACAGCGAGTTTCTCCATATATATGGTTCTTAGTGATGAGATCCATAAAACGTATCAATTTTTGTTTGAAAACTCTCGCTGTGAGGTCATGCCGATCAGATCGTTGTTGGCCAGGCAAAAGTAAATCTTTGATTTCACACCAAGATGGATTACATGTGAACGTGATAAAAAGATCTGGACGTCCATATCTGCGAACATATGTCAGAGAATCCTGAGCATATTCTTGCATATGTCTTGGACTTCCAGTATACGAAGCTGGAAGTATAACCGTTTGTCCAATATTACCAATTGTTCCATCATTAGCGATTGCATCTCGCAAATGAATATAATCTTCGACTCGAAGCTTCGATTGATTGTAACGAATGTAATTGAGTCGTTCGCTTTCGACTTTGGCGTACATATCAACGATGAATTGTTGAAAAACATGACGACACTTTAAGATATGGTTGGATTGTTCGGCTCGAATCATGATGCGATATGCATAAAAATCCATACAACTGACTTTTTTCGTTGTCGCAGCACCTGTGACGGGATGAGTTTGATACAATTCGAGATGATAACCGTCTTCTCCTCGCGGAAATAGAATTGGATATTGAAGTGCGTCGTACGATCGATGTGTTTCAGCAATACGTTGCTTGGTTTGATTTCGCCTGCTGATAACAATATCTCGCCGAATAATTTCTGTACCGACAATTACAGCTGCTACTTCAGGGGCTATTGGAGCATTGAAGCGTCTTTCATGCTCATTCCATGGGGTTTTGTCTGCTCTGATAATGAGTTTGAAGTCATCCGCTCTTACATTCTCCAATGCGGATTTGAAATCTCGGACCAAACAGTTGTGCTCGTGGAATAATGCTCGTAATTCAGCAATAATCTTTCGATCTGTTGCTATACTAAATGCGCATCGTCGATCAATCTCCTTCTCCACATTGTCCATGAAATAAATTTGCAAAAATTGCGGATCTTCTTTGGATACTGGAAGGAGTGAACCAATCTGATGACATTGTCCTTGCACTTTAAATGTGGGCATAAAATTATTATATCTCACAATATTCGTCGCTCCAAACGATGTCATCTGAAAGCATGAGTTGTATTTCCGAATATGCTGTAGAAAGTGTTTGGACTCCCGAGTAACTCCAGCAACGTAAGTGAGCAGTGGTTCTGGTGGTTCAGTCAGTGGTGGCAAATTGATTTTGCCATTGGAGCAACACATGCCAGGCGCTTCTTTTTGAAACTTCAAAGCGCGACAGTGTAGACACAATTTAGTCATCGGACCAATGACAACATCGCGATGCATTTTGTAGTCATAGTCTTTATCGTAATTGAACGCTGCTTTCTTGAGATCGATTCTTGTTCTTGATCGAGTCTGCCGTGAGCGTTCTGCTTCACGTCGTGTGTCTCGCTCTTCTGGTGTTGCAGAAGCTCTTGACGCAGACGCTCTTGCTCGAAGATCTTCAACACGTACGTCATGCTGTTGTGATGTTTCGGCAGCTCTTGACGTAGAAGCTCGCACCCGCAGGTTTTCAATTCGTGAGTCTCGCTCTTCGGGTGTTTCGGCAATTCTTGAAGTAGAGGCCCTGATCCGATCAGTTTCCAGTCGTGCGTTTCGTATTTCAAAGGTTTCACCAGCTCTACTGGCTGCCACTTGCTGCGCATGTCTGGTTGATCTTCCAATGTTTGATTTTTTGGGTGGCATTTTCAATAATCTCCAGTAATTAGACAGATGACTCGTCTACCAACGAAAACAATGTTGTCATAATGTTGTCATTGATGCAGCTGATTCTCGAATTTCATAATGCTTTGACAGGTGCAGAATCAGCCAACGCGATCTATGTTTCAGCAGCTCTACTGGCTGCCAGTTGCTGCGATGTCTGGTTGATCTTCCAATGTTTGATTTTTTGGGTGGCATTTTCAATAATCTTTAGTAATTCACTCTTTGTTATTACTGAGGATTGTAGACAGTGAACAGCACTAATTATTTTCTTTTGCGGTCAATACGATTTTTGTTGTAATACCAACGAAAACAATGTTGTCATTGGTGCCGCCATATATCTAATACTTGCTAACTCTTCAGAAGTAACATAGAAACGGTGTTCACGGACAAAGGGAGACGGAAGATATTGTTTTCTGTCTAGAAAAGTACTGAGGATCTGTGCGCACGTACACAAAATAGAAGCGAACGTATGAAATGTCAAAACACATCTAGTCACGTTATCGACTAAAAATCAAGCAAGTACGAGTACATGAGCAGTACTGTTTGGTACTATAGAGAGACAAAGAGGTCCGATATATTGCTCTGCTGTTGTGTTTTCGGACTTTTTTGAGGCCTGATAGCAATATAGTAGTATTAGATATATGGATGCCGCTGGAAAATATTCTCCATGGTTAAATACCAACGTATATCAATTTTCATGAGGATCGGTTGATTGGTACAGAAGTTGATGTGTTGCAGCGCCATCTAGTGGCGAGTTACAGCAAAATGGATAGGGCGAAAATATTCTCCATAGTCAAATGGCAACGTGTACCAATTTTTATGAGAATCGGTTGAACGGTGTAGAAGTTGATATGCTGTAGCGCCATCTAGTGGCTAGTTACAGCAAAGCGGATACCACAAAAACCTTCTCCATGAAAAACCACTTACATGTACCAAATTTCATGGTGATCGGTCAAGCGATTTCGGAGTCTATTGATCACAGATATATATACCAACATCCATTTTTATATATTAGATTAAGCTGTAAAATTCAAACACCTATTTGCCACAGTCAGTGCCGTTAAAAACTGATTCGCTTTCACATATATTTACCGGAAATTGATAACACCGAAGTTAAAAAATATATAAACAACCTTCATCATAGATTTAGTCATCATAATATAATCTATTAAGTAGTAATTCTTATTTCCTAGTAGTAAACAAAACGAGATAATCTTAAGAGAAAACCCTGCTTCATAGAAGTTTTAAACTTCCATAGTACGGAAATGAAACAAAAGATAATTTCGGAAATCCTCACGAGAGTACGATTTCCATATAATCAACGAATGATTGGACGATACGTGAAAATATCTAAATCCAAGTGATTTATCTTAATTTATAAAATGACGCTTTAAATGATTCATACAAAGTAATATCATTTTTTTACCGACTCTACATCTTGATCGAGGTATAGCATTAGTTCTCTTATTAATTGTATATCAAAAATTACATTTTGTGACCGAAAATGAGCGAGTTGATATATATATCACTGAGAAAACAAAGTGCTCAAAGAGTTTAAACATAAACAACGCACAAGCCCTTGGCATGCTCATCAAATGATAATGCGTGAAATAGAACATTCCAGATAGCACTCCATACCTGTTTGTCCTGATTACGATTTTAAAATTTTTACAAACTTCCAAAATTTCTGACTGTTAATCGAAATATTCTTTTTCGCCTACGCACATTTCTAATTCAATGGTCACGGTAATTTTTTCACTACAGCATTAAGAATTCTGTACGTACATATTCGCTGTTTTCATTTTGCCACTGATGATGCTACTTTCCGCAGCCAAAATCTGTGTTTGGTGTTTCAAAGTTAAATTGCAAAATGTTTCTACACAATTTTTATTTATTTTTTCGAAAAATTTGGATGTCAACACGGATTCATAATGTATAAGATCTAAATAACATTTACTAGTGCAAATCTTGGAAATGACGTCAACATATTGTTGATGGGGATGATTAGCGTTTTACCATCTAGAGATCTAGACGATATTCCTAATATACCGAGTGTCTGGAAAATGGCGCATTAACTTTGCAGTACGTTATGTACGGGGTTTCGGCGTCCCAAAAAATAAAAAAAATCTTTATGAAAATTGGCAACACTGCACGCATCTATTGCGTGAATACCTCCAGCTTACTTTCTGATTTCTTAGTAACGATGGTGACTGAAATCCACCTTCTCGTAATGTTTCCAAATTTTGATCATTTTTTGTAAAAGTTAGTCATCACTACTTGCTAAGATAAAACTGATTTTGGCAATGACATACCCTCTAAGAAAAGAGAGGGTGGATGGGCGGGGCTGGTAGCTGAAAAGATAAGACTGATTTTGGCTAATGGAATAGCCTCTAAGAGAAGAGAGAGCGGGCGGGCGGGGCTAGTACCTGCTGAGATAAAACTGATTTTGGCAAACGACATACACTCTAAGAAAAGAAAGGGCGGGTGGGCGGGGCTAGTAGCTGCTAAGATAAAACTGATTTTGGCAAATGAGATACCTTCTAAAAAAGGAGAGGGTGGGTGGGTGGGGTAGGTACCTGCTAAGATAAGACTGATTTTGGCAAACGAGGCATTTTCAGGTTCCGTTCTAAAGTTACGGCATATCCCACATATGGAGCATTTGTAAAAAAATACTTTTTAAACCACAGCGCTGTTCTTTAATAATTTCAACGTCGTAATAACTACAACCACACATATCATGATTTATTGGTTTTAATGATGATAATATATGACCTATATCAACAATTAATCATAAAATAATTTGGAAACTATTTTGTTGAGATACAGAACGTTCATTTAGAAAAACATCATCACAAGAACTATCTTCAGTACTATTATACGGATTATTAACAATTTGAACGTCATCATGTTCAACAGATTTAAGTTTTTTCCAAAGTGTTTTCACAGCTTGTTTCTTTTATTTACGTTTGTCATTAGCAGTTTGATGTTTATTTGAAGCGTGCCCCATTGTAGTTTTTAGGGTATAAATATGTTCAAACGCGATGGGGACCTAACTACTAACCTAAAGTTATAACCAGAGTTAAGCAAAGCCGAAGTGATGGGGTATCAATCAGACAAATATTAAAAACGACGGCGCGACATCAGGCGATAAATTTGGATGGCCGACTGTGCAGTCTCAATCTCAGTGGCATTTGAGGCAATTCAGGGTTTATCTGTTTAAGATCATCACGAAAATTGTGATGTTAAACCGTCATTTTTTATTTTTAAAGCAATTTTATCATCTAGGAGAACTCTTATAACCGAGGAAAACCTAGAAAAAGCACTCATTGTTACTAAGAATTCCCGAAGTTGTAGGCCACGACTGCAATAGTGCTGGGGATTGGACGACAATGAGCATCACTTCCGCGATGCCGAAATTTAGTTATAACTCACTAACTAAATTTCTTACTTATTAAATCTTACCCACCATTTCAAAAAAAAAAGACAACTAAACACTAAAAAAACACCTACAAACGGGAAATGTCACAAAAAATGTAATCCTCAGGGACACAAAGTTTTACCACACTATACAAGCACAGTTTACTGACAAACGGTCAACTAATAAGTAACTGCTCTAACTATTGCTTCTTATTTATAGGGATCTTGACAATGAGATAATCCGCAAATAATGAACACATTGTTACCTGAGTAACGAAAATTTATTTCTTGGAAAATTTTACCTGTGGGTAATGAGTTCTAAGAACAAATTGCAGTTGTAGTCTAAGTCTAGAAGAGCCAATTTGTAAAGTTTGTCCAGAATTATAAGAATTTTATGGACTCCCAACGTTAATTTGTTTCACAGCTCAGGCGTCAATTCTATTGTACAGGTAAAGAGCCTGTCAGGGGAAAGCCGATCTTTTCTGTACCTGAGTTCGCCCCGCTCTTCAGCTAAACAATAAAACTGACAACAGGGCTGTAAAACAAATTAACTTTGGGAGTCCATAAAATTCATATAATTCTGGACAATCTTTAATAGCTTTTTTTTACCATATGCAAAATAAGTAGATTTTTTTATTACTTCTATTACTTACTTCTTTTTTATGAATCTACTGATTTTTATTATTACAAAACTGACGTGATAAATGAGAATTTTTTTTGCATTTGTCACGTCAGTTTTGTCACTGTGATAATTCAAGCTAATTTATGCACCAATGAAATGTCGTGAAAGTGGAAACTAGAATTTCCTTAGAATACTTGTAAATTCTTCGTTCTGATTCATTTGTTACAGATACATATTTTGTACAGACATATTTGTCATTATAATGACAGTAGAACATAGATTATATTGGATTTTTTAAAATGTCACAAAATGTCTGATCGAAATTTTTTGGAAATAACTATGAATAAAACAGGTGATCGGCGAAATTTGGAAACGGTATATATATAGTTTAAATATTTTTGTGCTTATAATTAGAGAGCGGATTTCTGTCGGGCTAGACAAGGCCAAACTCGGTACGGCTCGTACGGGATGGAAATTCATTGCAGTTACCGGCTGCACTTCGTTTATTTGAGATTAGAATAACGCTGCTTCGTTGCACTCTTCTGTTAATTCCAGTTCTCATTTAGTTAGCCGTTTGATTAATAAATCGTTAATTGTATTTATGGAATCAAGTGACAATTAAATTCAGTGATTACCTATCACCCGCTACTGAGTCCCGGCGATGCAGCGCGTCCCCACTAAAATCGTGACGTAGCCCGACAGAAATCCGCTGTCTACTTATAATGCCGCAGTTATAACGTCGACCACTTTTTTTTTTAATAAAGAAGCCAACTTTTTTAATCGTATTTTTAAAAATGATTAGAAAAAAAAAAATGAGAACAAAATCAGAAGTGATAATTTGAATAAAACGCTTTAGCAGCTCAATTTTGTCTTCTTCCACTGTAGAAATTTTTCATGTGGTTTGAAATTTCTGTATGCCAAGATCACTTTAAAAGCATACTAATAAAATTGTGTGACATGATCAGGATTATTTGGTTGACAATGCCAAGTCGGCTTTTCGCAATTGGGTTCTTGTAAACTTGTAAACCCTGTCGCGTGCCTATAGAATTTCCAAGCAGACGGTCTTTGGCGGTCGTACCTGCATAATTTATGGTTTTAGAGCTTTGCGGGTTGGGTTCTTTGACTAAAGTTGTAAAATATTATCTGTATGCTTTTAAAGCGACCGCCTAATTCTAATGCTAAGCGGATTAACAGCAGGGGGTTGTCTTGTCTTGAGCTGTCGTTCAGTGGGTTGCACATTTGTGGAAACCACGACACCCGAACTTTTCGTTAGCCATGGTTCTGCCTTAAACCTAGCAAAAGAACCAATTTTGAAACCATTGTAACTTCACCAAAATGCGGGAAGGAATTTTTTTACTATTTTTTCCAGACTCACCAGTTGATTGTTAAGAAATGTAAAAAAATGGTTGCACTGATAAAAAAAAGTGTAGACCCAATATTTTGCACATTCAGATTAATCTAGCTAAATTTTAAAACGACAAACTTTTATTGACGGTTTATCATATTAGCGATTACGTTCTGTTTACCTTTTAAGATAAATTTTCTATACAATTTTTATTTTTTCTCCATAAATCTAAAACTCTGAACCAAAAAATTCGAGGTTAACAACACAAGTATAGCAAAATTTTGTGATGACATCATTAAATTGTGGACAGCGCTGAACAAGTAAATTTTGGTTGGCATTTAACTCTTTATATGATGGTCTTAAAGTAAATAAATTCTCATCCAAAAAACTTGCACCTTTTAGATTACAATAACACGATACAATATGAAAATAATTATGGGCTAAATTCACCGCTTTAAGAGCTAAGAAAAAGCTCACCTGGTAACACTTTCAAGAATTTTCCAAGACTGCAATTTTTTTCATCGAGCTACTAACCTGAACACATTTTCATTTTTAGCTACTGAAACCTTGAAACATAAATTACATTTGTAGCATTTTGTTGACAATAAAATACTTTTCGATTGCTATTTCTGTGGTTTTGCCAAGTTTTAGACTTTCCTTTCAAATTTTCTATAGCATGTATACTACAGCATTTTTTAAACAAAGAAAAACACACAAATTTCAGAACTAAACAATTTAGGTTGAGTTTGTTTTCCGTTAATGTTACACCAGTACAAAAATTATATCAAATTTCCAGTTAGACTTTGATATAAGCTACATAACATCTGGCATAGTTTTCATAGGTCCTGCTTCTAATAACCATAATATGTAAATTATAAAAGTGGATTTTGACAGAACTGGCCGGTTTATATTTAATCTTATCTTATCTTATCTTATATATAAATATACTTATTTTAATAAAATATTTAGAAAGATATTTTAGTGTTTGTAGTAACTTGATTTACAAGGAAATATGCAACTAATTAAAAAGAAATATTTCGCTAGAGATTATCAAACTACTATAAAGTATAAAAATCATATAACTCAGAACAAAAAGCAATAAATCTTAGAAAGAAGCAAATTCATAAACATTCACACACACACAAAAACAAAACAAAAAAGGCGGTAACTGTTAGCGTTTAAGGTAACTGCACTACCTGTTTAAAAAAAGGACGAAAATTACTTACACCCATTTGTGATGTTTCACGTCAGTTTTTCGTCATTCAAATAAAGCATAAAATCACTTCCTGAGAGACAACTTTTCGTGTGACCGTAAAACTTAACTTCATTATTTTTATTTACATTGTGATGTGTGCACAGTAATAAAATTTTGTATCAATGTTGATACGTACTCTGATAACATTAAATAAAACGCGACTATTCTAGGATCTTCTGCGCAATGCTATATTTATTTTGGACCGAGACCAACATGACAGAATATGCAGAAGTAAATATAGTCGGTCTATGTTGACTTCGCGTGTGTTATAAAATAGAACTGGAGACAGTAGTTTACGAGAGTGTTACTGAGTGCACTGGAAGTCAAGGTGACAAGAGGATCGGCATGTGTTTAGTTAAGTTACGCATTAAAATGTCAATATAAAAATGTAATTTATGACTTAGAGATAGCTGTGTACAAAACTACATTTGGTTTTTTTTTGTATGTACAGATTATTAAATAAAATCAATTCTAGATATGTTAAAAATATGATTTCGTAATTCCGATAGTAACTCCAATTTTTTTATTACACTTATTTTGAAACATTACTGACAGACAATTTAATTACCCATACGTTTTTATCATCAATTAATTTGTCTTTACATGAATTGGAAGTGATAAATGTTAAACGTAAACATGGTAACACCATTCAAAATAAATATTTTTTAGTTGTATGCATATCATTTGTTCCTACATACTTAACATTTTTTTTAACACCCTGTATATATTTTTTGAGATTCTTGTAGATTTTTTTCTAAAATCATGTTATAATAAAGATTATATGCAGATATTTAGTACGTTATCTTATGATCGAAAAAAGTCGTCTAGTAGGCCATGAAATTTATTTTTAAAATAATAATGTTGGCATTACA